AGATTCTGGAGCACAATCCTTACAACAACCCTGTAAGGTAGATCGGTTATTTCCCATAATGCTGTTGGGGAACTGAGGCAGAGAGAACCCAGCTTGCCTAAAGTCTCCTAGGAAGCTGATAGCAGAAGCCAGCTCTGAACCAAGTACTCAGTGAGTGAGCAGCAGAGATAAAGACTGATTTAAATAGCACACCCACCCAACAACCAACAGCTAGGGCAGGCACCGTGTGACCCTCCAGGTGTTTCTTTCCTGGTTGTTGTTAGATCCTGCCTTTTTGCCTACGAGGGAACTTAAAGAGGCAACTCATCCAGAGCAACTGACATAACCCTTCGGCTTGCTCTAGTTTATCCTCACAACAACCCTGTAAGGTAGGCTGTTGAATGGTCATCCCTCACCCCCGGTGAGCGGGGCTTGGGCTGAGGGGTGTCTGGAGGTGGGGGGAGATGTTGTGTGTTGGAGAGTTTTGTTCGGCATTGTATTATTTTTATATTCAGTTTTATGGTGTTCAGTTTGTGTTACTGTCTTCACAATGAGCCTGCCTTTACCTGCCATGTCAATTATGAATGTCTTCATTTGTGGTTAAGTCGCATCGAGAGAGCTTTCTTTGCTGCGGCAATGGACACGTGGAATTATTAAGCATAATAGCGTGAGCACAGTTGAAGTCCCATCGAAAGCAACGGAGCGGATGTAAAGAAATCCGTTGCTTGACATTCCGTTGACATTTGACATTCCCTTGACTAGTTTGGCATTCCCTTGATGGATTCTTTGGATGGAGTGTAGTTCCTACTCTTTTGTGCTGGCTGATGTCCAGGGTGGGGTGGATTCTGCGCCAATCAGATGTGACATTTGCACTCCAGAATGCCATGCGAACACAATCCAGGGTTCTGTGCGTGCGTGAATGCAAACAGTGTCTAGGAAAGGTGATCAAGCACTTGCTGGCAGATCCAAGTTCCCTGTAGCAGATCCTATTAAATACTCCAGCCTGCCATGAGGAGCACTTTGTTTGTGCTTAATTGCGTTTAACCTGTTCTTCCGAAATGATGCAGATGATTTGCCTTTTATCAAGACCCGCCATTGCCATAATCGTCCTGAAATAAACAATGGTCCCTTTTGTAAGGAATTCTTCCCCCTTTTCTCTCTAAGCGCCTTGTCCTTTTCCAGCAAGAAGCTTTTCAAGCCCACACCAGTATCCCAGTACACAGAGCTTGGGATAAGCTGTCCAAGGGACTTTGCCCTGACTGCTACACTTCCATCAGCCGTTCCATAGATAGTCACAAATCAATCCCCTCTTGCCCCATTTCCTTGCAGACAAACACATCAATACGTTGAGAGTTTTTGTCCAATGCAGACCACAATTCCCTCCCCAGAGTAAAATGGTGGCCTCACCTCCTGATTCTGTGTAATTTCTAAAAGAATGTTGAAAACACCTAGGACTAGAACCTTAACTTTTTCTTTGAAAGACAAAGGAGAAAGCTTTTCACTTTGGGGCAGTAGTGAAAAATAGTGCCAGCGAATAGATCACTGAAAAAGAATAGAAAGGAAATCAAAAGCAAGTGAGAACTTGTTTTTAGGAAAGAGGGTAGCTTGTCTATCCCAAATAGCATTTGATAGCCAGTTTAATCAGCAAACCAGCCCCAAATGCAGGTTAATTGACACCAAAAAACACCAGGCATGTGTTTGTGTCATCTTTTGCCCTGGCTCAGGTGAAGAAGATCCTCTGCACCTGTGCGGCACCATGGCCGAAACTGCTACAGCTTCGTATAACGTACCTCTCGGTTGTGATCTTGTCCATTTCCATTCATTGATATTTTAAACCCTTTGATCCATTGTACAGCGATGCCCAATTATTATAGGAAGCAGGTTTGTGTGCATTAGGGGAGAGATGGCCGGGGCTAACAACCCTTTCATGGAACATTTTGGAGGATTATCAAGGCTGGGGAAAGCTAGCAAAGACCTTCCCGCGTCAGAATCACAATTCTGGTTCGCAATGTGGTTCTCCTCCTTTTGAAAGCAGCCCGTGTTATTTACTTTGCAATTAAAACACCTTGAAATTGCTCTAGCCTTTTATTTGTCTTTCCAGAAGCTGCTCGGCCTTTTTCTGCTTGCAGAGAGCTCTGCTTTTGCCATTCTTGGCCTTTGATCGCTGCCTTCCTGCAGGCACAGCTTCAATCTACCGAGCTTTGCAAAACAAAGCTTTTTGAAATTCTTATACTCACGTTTACCGTTATGAAATCCCCCACCCCAGCACCAAAAAGAAAAATTCTGATTCTGGACATTGACAAAGCGAGCATTTAGCTTCAAGTTCCTGACTTTGAGGGATGCATTCCTCACTGGAGCCACCTGTGGGATTCAGGCATCCTGAACTGAGAATGTCTTATCTTCTTTAAGTATTGAACACACTTGAGCTAAGAGACAACCTGCTGAAGATTTACATGGTGATCCCTGTTAAAGAAACATCTTGGTTGTGTGAAGTTGTGTCACGCTGAAGGGAGAGAGGGAGGGAGGGAGGAGATGGGAGAGAACAATACCAACTTCCTTGATAGAATAGTGTCTTTCATGATTTTATTCCTAAGTCACAGTACTAAAGTTGATTCTTCCACTTAAGTGTCACACTGCTCAGAATCAGCATTACCAATTTCGGCTGCCTGCCAATCAAAGAGGCTCAACAAGGGTCCCCATTTATTTTCAGATTGTACAAACTACCACCCAAAAAAAGAAGTTTGCTAGTTTCGTGTTGCTACTCTTATTTACAATTGATACCAAGATGGCGCCTTGCATCTTCGGGCCTTCGTGGTGCTGAAGGTAGCAGATAGAGTACAAGCTGTCTTGTCAGAAGGCACAAATTTAGCTCCAGGGCAATGGAAGTGTGACCAGTAGCTCTGTGTTCAGAGGGCCTTCCCCAGTCCATCGGGGATGATGGGAGGCATGGTCCAGCCCCTCTAGAAGGTGCCAAGTAGTCTTGAAGTTTTTGTTAAATTCATCAACATGTATCTATAAGTACCTCAAAGTCTGTTACAAAGAGGAAGGCCAAGATCTCTTCTTGCTGATACCAGAGTGCAGGGCACAGAATAATCAAGTCAAGCTGTGACAACCCAGATTCAGGCTGGGCATCAGGAAAAGCTTCCTCACCGTCAGAGCAATACAGCAGTGGAACCAGCTGCCTGGAGAGGTGGGGGGCTCTCCCACCCTGGAGGCATTCAAGGAGAAACTGGACAGCCACCTGAGTGGGATGCTGTGACTTGGTGTCCTGCAACATCAGGGGATTGGACCCGCTGGCCTTCTGGCCCCTTCCAACTCTACTACTCTATGATTCTATGAATAACACGGGGAGATACCTAGCAGGAAGATCTACCTGGTGGCTGTTCTTTCGGGACTTGGGAACCCCTACCCAGCTGAGTTATTTTGAACTGGCATGAACCCAGGTCCTTCCACTCACCAAGTGGGAGGCCTGCTATTGCCAAGGGCCAAAGGCAAGTGTAAAAGAGCCACAACTATGCGCAGGGGAAGCAGGGGGTTGGGGGCTACAGATGGGGGGCATCTGCTTTTTGCTTTGGCTGTGGGGCATTGGGCCCCAATCCAAACTGGAAACAAGCAAGGTGCACAAAAGCCCCTCAGCCAGAGACATCCAGGCCATACTGGGTGGACTCCTATGACAGGAAGAGAGTTGCTGATTCACATGCAATTTGCACAGATTAATTTAAATGCGCATATTCACACTCAGCAATAGTGACTTGGATTTAAATAGGAGTCCTGTACATCTCACTGCACTGGGAAGGTGCTAAGCACACCCCGGGTACCTTGCCTGAGCTGGCATCTCCTGTTCTAAGGGCTGACAGTTTCAATGGCCCCTTCAGAGGGATCTTTATCTTTAAACAAGACTCGAACCAGGCAACCCTTCAAAAAGAGGGCACCTTTAAAAAAAAAAAAAGATTTCCCCCTAGGAAGAGAGGATAACCCCTGTCAAGGATGAACAGAGGACTCCTCTTTATGAAAGAGGACACATGGCCGCTCTGCAAACCTGCTGATTTGCTTTTCACAAGCCATGGCAGCATGACTGACAGTTCCTGCCACTTAACTCTGGAGTGGCCACTGCTTCTTGCTTGCCACCCCTGCCTTCCTTCGGGACTTCTTCGGCAGGGCAAAAGCAAGTTAATTTCAACTCTCAAAAGGAGCCAGCAAGCACAGGAAAGCGTTTGGACCACTGCAGCAAATTGCACAAGAATTCTGGGTGTGACAAACTCCTTTTAAAACCGCTCCCTCGGCTAACAGAGTAGGTGTTGACAGAATAGACCCTGAAGTAGGGCTGCAGCGCGGAAGGGGTGTTGTCACTAAGAGCGTGGATTTCAGCATGCTCACGGGATCCTGCACATGTCCGTGAGGACAAACTGCTTTTCTTGGAACCGTTCTGAGAGTATTTTCCCCATCGCCCTCAATGAGGGCTGGACATGCCAAAGAGCCACGGAATGCCAAGTGTGCCATTGTAAACGAAAAATGGAAAACTAAAGCCGAGGTGGCGGAAGGGTCATTTGGAAGGGTGGCAGCTTAGCTGGCCAGCTGAAGCCCTGAGCAAGCGGCGATGTAGGGAGGTGCAGGTGCATTATCCTGCAATGCATGCCCACGGGCACAGAAAAGCGACGCCATCTTGGAGACAGGGCTGGGGCCAGTGGTAGGCATGGATGGGCAAGGATCCGGCCGCAGCTGGAGCCGTCTTGCAAGGGCCCACCTGGACTTGCTCCTTTTCACTCTGCAGCCCGCTTCTCCAACAGCCTCGCGCCCCGACGCTGCTGGAGTGGCAGAGGAGGAGCTGGGAAGCACTGGCCCGCCTGCTTCCCAGTTCTCTGCCCACCGGCAGGCAAGTGGAACCCCAGTGTGGCAAAGGAAGAGCATCTCCCGGTGAGGGAGGGGGTGGCTCCCAGACCTGGAACCTGGCATTGCTTGGAATCCTCTGGGGATTCACAGATCCTTCCAGGCAAACCAGAAGCACAAAGATGCCTCCCTCGAGTCCTTTGCAAGCAATGAATGAGAAGTCCTTTGCTGTCACGCCGCTCTTTGGAGTCCTTTCCCGAGGACAGAAACGCACCTGGGGGTGGTCCGGTTGCCACAGTCTCAACTGCCTTGCCTGAAGCTATGGATCTGGGTGGAGTATTTCTGGAATTGCTCCGCTGGTTCGTCGTCGTCCTCGCATTGCTGCTGGTAGTGTTCGTACAGTTTGGATTTGCTACCAGAACCGGAGCCGTCGAGGGTCTGGAGGTGCCCATTAGACATCCGTAGAATGGTGGAGGTGAGAGATTTGATATAGTTCTTGGCCAAGGTGAGCGTCTCGATTTTGGAGAGCTTGTTCTCTGCCCGGACGTGAGGGATGACTTCCCGCAAGGCCTGGAAAGCGTTGTTGAGCTTGTGCATGCGCTGCCGCTCCCGCTCGTTGCTCTCCAGCCTGCGCAGGCGCCTGTCTTTGGAGCTCCAAGTGAGCTTCGCTGGCCGGGAGGCGGCCTTCGGGCTCTCCGTGTTCCTCTTTTCTTTGTGCCGCAGACATTTCAGAAGCTCATCCCTGCTCTGGGTCGGCTCCTGGCACACGGCGTCTTTGTTGACCGCGTGGCGGCGTTTCAGCCCTTTGCTTTTGGCCTTCATCATCCACGCGGTTGTAGACGCAGGAACACAAACACGGCAACTTCTCTGTTACGAGCTCCTATCAGCAGAAGCTTCCTGCACAACCAGTGGGGCTGTTGGGAAAAGAGGACACCAGGTTGGTTGCTACGAAAGCCACAATTTCATCCTCATCAGGGGCCAAAACAACTGGAGGCTGTCAACCCTCAGCAAGAGAGATGGAAAGCGGTGGAGGCTAGAGAACAGTAGAAAGGGAATGGCCACTTCAGGCCGCAATGGGGGAGATTTCAGCTTGGGTTGCTCCTGAAGAACTCCTTGTGAGTAGAAAACTAGACGAGCAGGAAGAGGGATAGGCCTAGAACTTCTCCACTCCTCACTGGGTTTTCTTCTGGCTCGATATTTGGTGCACCAGTACAGACACCTTTGTATAAAATAGACTTCCCACCTCTCGTCTCAGTTGTGAATGGCACCTGCAGATGAAGATCAAGGCAGCTTGCAAGGGGCAATTCTGTTTTGTACGTCAGCACCTGCATTGATCATCAAGGGTGAACACGGTCACACTGCATCAGAGTACACAAAACCCTGTGCTTTCTGGTGGGGAGAAGAATGGCGTGCGGGAGCAACTCAGCTGCAAACACATAAATAAGCAAGAAATGGGCTTTTCAGGATGCACCAAAGCCCCCTCTGTATTGCCAAAGGAGTATGCAGGGGAAACTTATGGGCACAAGGATGTGATCCCACACGGGTGATGGACCTTTTTCCATCAGGGATACCTTCTCACTGGTCTTTGGTGGGCCCAGATCCAGAAGGCAGTGAGCCACCCCCTTTCTGTGCATGCACATGTGTCCGCGGTCTCCCTCCTTCCCTTCTCTCCATCGTCCCCATCCAGCATTTGGGCAAGGCGGAGATCAGTTTTTCCAATGCCAGATCATTTGCAGAGGACTTTTGACAGTAGCCCAGGGAGCTCATTAGTCCAGGTTGCCCACCTTTGCGGGATGACAAGTGGAAAGTCGTCCACCTTGGCCCAATCTCAGATTCAAGATCTGCTAAGCCCCCCCCCCCCACACACACGCACATTCTGGCTGGCCTTGGGCAAGCCCCTGTCGCTGTGCTTCAGATGCTCCATCTGTAAAAGCAAGGAGGAGCGTAGGCTCTGCTGAGCCATTCGGAGAATGAATGCCTCCAAGAACTGCGGAGTGCCCCAGAACTTACCAGCTGACCCAGTGCTTCCTGGGATCACAGATAAAGGTTCCCGTAAACTAGAAGTTGTTTGCCATTTGGGCATCCACCTTGGGTTGGCCATCCCGGATGGACATACACAGGCCAAAGGGCCGCTCCTTCTTCTGTTCCCTCTTCCACCAGCTGCTGCTCCTGGTGGCACACAGGTGCAGGGAATACTTCTCATGCTGGGATAGCTGCCTCCTAGCCCTTTAAAGCTAGGGCTGAAAGGTGGTCTAGACAGGTTAATGGGGACTTTGGCACTGTGATTACTGCAGACCAGCCCAACCCTGTAAGGGCTGGATTCAGACAACACAATAACCCACACTCAAGTGTTGAGTATGGGTAGAATGTGGGTTGTTGCTGAAACGTATTACCGTTTGCCTGAGCTCATCATAGTTAACCATGAACAACCCACAGTTCCCAACCCAACAGCCACCAGGGGTTCTCGTCATGTGCTGTTTCTGGTTAGCCAACGATGTTTGACAAATCAGCACCCTATGAGCAGGCAAAGCAACGATGGAGACATCAACTCAGGCCGGACCCTGCCTAGCAAAGGCTGCCCATACCATGTCCAAGCATTCTTCTGCTGGCTCTGTACCACTCACACCTCCCTCCTGGACTACACAATATCGGAAGTCCGTGCATGGAAACCTCATGTGTGGCATCCAGTACATTCCACCAGGCAACTGGCTGCAGGTTCAAGTTGAGCATACGCCCTGTGGCAGATCTGACCTGTGAACTGGCCCACGGACACCTCGACTTCCTTCCCCATCACCTGCTAGTGCACCTTTCAAGGACAACTGGCTGTAATGGGCAGTGTTAGGGGCAGTGTCTGTACACCAGGGATCCAACTTGTGGCTTTCCTACATGCAGTTGGTTGCATGCCAGCCCAGATGGACCCTCTTCCTACATTTCTCCTCTATTCATTGTCGTTCTTAACTCCCCCGAGAATTCTAGCCAAAAGCTACACATTTCATTTCCTTTTTGTTTGCTTTCCTCTTACTTATGCAAGACTTGGAAAAGCAAGTGCTATTAGGAGAGGTTAAGACTCCAGAATAAGATGATTTGAATAACAGAAAACAGTAAAAGCCTACTTTTGAAGCAATGGATGAAAAAAATGCAGCCTTTTCCCACTTTAGCTGAAACATGTGTGCGGCCCATTGCCAACGGTCTTTTATTCCCCCTGCTTCCAGTCTTGCTTCCAGTCTTATCCCCCATCTTTAATAGCATGAGTTCTGAATGGAACAGCAGATACCTACCTGGTGATGGAGCAGGTGCCAGCAGCATCCTTAGAACTCTTAAGCCGGCATGTGCCGTAAAAGCAAATGACCCTATGGTGAGCGGTTTCTTGGCTTGCAGGACAGCCAGTGGTTTGGCTTCTCGGGGCTGCTGCGAACTGCCCGCTAGGGCTGGGACACGTCACTTTAATGCACAAGCAGGTGAGAAAGGCGGAGCTTGGCTTGGCTGGGTCTTTTGCAAATAATCCAAAGAGTGTGTGCAGCAGCTGCTGCAAGGTTATGACAGGTCGGTGCTTAGCTATGTCTGGCTGGCATTTTGCATGGGTTATGTAGTGGCCACAGCATTCCTCCCGACCCCATGGTTGAGTCTAGCCGGGGCCCTAGTTCTGTGGCAGGGCACATGAGCTGCATGCCAGAAGCACAGGTTCAGTGCGCAGCAACTCTAGAAAGCACCGGGCAAGAATTCTGCCTGAAGCTCTAGAAGAAGAGTTGTTGACCCCAACTGCCACCAACGCTGGGCCAGAGGAACCAAAGGTTTGGTTTGTTACAAGACAGCCTCCGATGGTTGTACAGTGACTTTATGGGGGTGTCACTGTTTCTTCTATCAACAATCAGGAATCCACAGAAAGGAGGGCTGCAAACTGTCTGCGGGTTACCTGTTAGCAAGGACATCAAGTGAGTCTTTCCTGGAGTTGCTTGTTTCAACTGGAAGCCCTCCAGATGCTTGGGTCTTCTGTTCCCAGCTCTCTGGACCTTAGCATGTGCTAACTGTGGCTGAAGTTCAAATCATTTGGGGAGCACATGTTGGGAGAAGGACAGCCTGGACCTGACTTGTGGAACCCAATTCATTTTCCCAGACGGTCTAAGAGGCTGCATTCCAGTGGTGGGTGGGACTGAGAGCAGAATGTCTAGGCCAATGTTTTAAAATCTGTGTATTGTAGCTAAAAGCTCTTAGTATTGCTAACCAGTCCTTAGGAGAGGCACTTCAACCATTTTGAACTGGAAAGAATTTGCATGAAAGATGGGAACCAGCAAAGGATTTGTAGTTGAGTGAAAGAGGGTGAGGTCAGGGAAGGGAGTTTAGCCTCACTGTGAACCCAAGATGCAAGGATGTGGCTCCCAAAATTAATATTCCTTTAACTTGACCTGGAAACTGCCTCTTGGAGCTTTATCGCCAATGCACCTTCCCCACTCATCTACTTTCAGTGATGCTTAGAGGCATCTGCCTGTTCAAACCCACCCAGAAGGGCTGTTGGCACAGGAAGAGAAACAGGACTTTAATGTCGCCTCGGGCTGTTCCAGTCCTTTTCCAGGCTCAGTTCAAAGTGCCATTTCTACCTGTAAAGTCATCCCATAGCTATAGGCCAATCCAGACTTGCAGGATCAGTTCTTCTTTTTATTGACAGGAATGGCAAGAGCTACCAACTGGATCCAGATACAAAAAGACCAAAAGAAATGGCAGCGAAGTGGTGGAGGCCAATGCTTTACTGCACCCCATGAATCATGTACACAAAGGTGTCCGGGGTGCACAAGAAATCTACAGAAGAGTTACTGCTTAAGGATTTTAAACATGAAGATGCTGAACTCAGCATGCAGGCCCAGAGAAAACCAACTAATTCCTCCGGCTTGTACAGGTGAGGGATAGCAAAGATGAGCTCAAGATTAGCCGGGGACAGATGTTTACTTGCTATTGTGAAATTAGGAATCAGGAGTTTCTTCCTGCTCTACTGTGTTTCACCCCAAGATCTACCAGGACATCTCCATCGATCTTCTGCTGAGCCCTGTTATTTTGCTGTCTCTCCCACTTTTGCTCTTACAAGTAATCTAAGGTGGGTGGCCTCCTCCTCCTCGAATCAGTGACTGACTCAAGGTCATTCAATGAGCTACCTGGCTGACTGGAGACAGGAACCTGGATGGATCCCCCATGTCCCAGTGCAACACTCCAACCACTATACCGTCCTGGCTTTCTTTAGGACCGCCTTCTCCCTGCCTTCTCTCCTGTCACAAGAGATTCTGCTCTGGATTAGAACCTGTTCAGGTGTGGTACCCACACTGTGCAATGGCCTTCCTGAAGATGTCAATCCCTCTTTTTTGAAGGCCTCTTTCAGGGACAGCTTTCCACAGGCAGCAGATGGTGCCTTGATGTAGCTTCTGCGTTTTTAATTGGAATTGAGTTTTATGCATTGAGTATTGGCTATCATCTTTGATTTTTATTACTGTTCTGCTTTACTGATTGCCACTTTTATTTAAAAAAGGGGAGGGTTGAAAAGTAAAGGCTCCTCAAGGGCAAATGAGGGAAAGCATTTCACGACGACTGCCCACAAAAAGGTTAAATGTTCTCTGGAGCTCCTGTGTGAAGTCTTGATTAGGACAGAGCCCCCAGAGTGAAAATGGATCCTCAAGAACAGCCTCAGATAGGAACCACCTTAAAAGTGCTTGGTCTACTGTCTTCGTCACCCGGATGGCATTCGGCCTGCAAAAGACCAGCTACAGCAACAAGAAAAAAAAAGAAGGCTGTTAATATTCCATTTGAATCATGGCCAAGTATCAAAACCAGTCAACCTGGTTGCTTATTTCTGGCTGTTCTAAAACTCTCTATTCATCCTAGCAAAGTTGTCTTTTCAAAGTTCAGTTAGCAAAACTTCAAGAACAAGTTCAAGTCTGTGTATTTTTAGACAGAAAAACAGTCCCCAGCTCCCAGCAAGGCTGGTAGGGTATTAGAGGCCTTTCTTCTGTTTAAGAGTTGCACTTTTGGAACCTTCCAAACCAACAAATCCAAGTGCAATGCATTTGTTGTAAAAGGCAAACAAGCATCTCAAGAAGAACAACTGAGGAAGGGGAGAAAAAGTTAGTTCAATGACAAAAAATGCATTCCTATGCAGATTAGGTCACAGAATGAATGTGCATAGGACACAAATATTATAAATATATACCTTTATTTTATTTTGAATATTAAATAAGGTTCTTTAAATTACAAGCAGTCTTGAATCACACTAGTCATGATCAATGTACAGTAGAAATATTACAGTTTTAAAATTTACACAATTTAAAGACAAATTCAACCTGAAATTTCATTATCTAGCATATTGCCATAAACCTCATACCTGGTATTAAACTCCAAATAGGAAAACCTTTCCCCTATGATTTTGTTACATACATTTTCCTCATTTACAAAGAGAGCAAAACATTATATATACACATCAATTGGTACCATTTACCATTAGGTTACACCTACCACTGTGCAAGATCAGACAATTCATTAAACGGAACCAGACATCTTAAATTAATTCAAGTTTCATTTGAAAATAAAATAAAGTAAAAACCAGGTTGGTGGTCTACAACACTTATATTTATCTGCCTTCTCTTGTACTCACCTCTTCTACAATTACTCCATAAAGACTTGATTTTTTAAAAAAAGGATATTTCATACAACTTAAAGCTGAATTTAAATTCTTTGTTGCTTCTTTTTTACACTCCATTCTTAATTTTAAGGCTATTTCTTATAAGGCTTGTATGCTTCCAATTCCACCTTCCGATTCAAATAGCCATTTTGCCATCAATGAAATTTAAGCTGAATGTTTGTTTCAACTCCTCTAAAAGCTCTTAACCATGCAGATGGCTCCATAATAATAATGACAGTCAGAACTACAGACAAACCAATACACAATACTGTTTAAAAAAATAGGCATGAATGGCTCTCATTAGTGCTTTACCCCGGATTAAAAAAAGAAGAATTTCATTTCCCAGGAAGTGGTGGAAACTGCCTTCTCACTTGCGTATAGCAAACCTGGAAAACGACATAGTGATTAAAAGCCTCCACATTCTCTTCGGCCTCTTCTTTACAAACATTAAACTCGGCTTCTCCAACATGGCACCCTCCAGATGAGTTGGACTACAACTCCCATCACCCAGGCCCCAGCCAGCATAGGCAGGCTCTACATTGAGACATTTCCTTCACCTGGATTTTCCCCTCTGGTGTGTGCTTTCATCTTTCCCCTGCTGTACACCTGAAAAGGGCCGAAACCTTGTTCCTTGCTCCAAGCCCCTGTCTGGACCGCACCGCCACGATCGCAAGCGCCAAAGCAAGGTCTCGGAGCCATCCTATGGGATTCATGGGAATGCTGCTCCCGCCCCCCAAGCAGCCCCCTTCCCTGCCTTTGTGTGCATAGCCGCTCCTCAAAGGCAAGGACAGACAACTCAGGACGTAGGAGCCGGGCTCCAGCGCCTTCAAAACTTCTGTGCGAGGCAGAACCTTTCCACAGGCCGAAGCTTTTCCACGCTGCGTCCCCTCTGCTTGGTGGGGAGCGAGAGGCGTCTGAAAATTTGTGACCTATCATGAAGCTATTAAAAATGCCAGTATAGCAGCAGCAACAGCTAAGATTCCCTCAAACCAACACCTGGGCCTACAAGCCACCTTCCTTCATGGTTTCCAGTCCCGGGGAAGCTAAAAAACTACAGCAACAAGAATAAAAAGCAGCTGCACGAGGCCACAGAAGAGCTCCTCACAAGCATTGCCTAGGCTGCTAACCTTTCCCGTATCCAACTTGAGACATCCCATCTTCTGGGAAACTGCAGTGCAAAAAAAATGCAATGTTAGCCCATGGCCAGTATCACATAAATGCCTTCCTGTGATTAAAAGGTATAAAGCCGGTCTTCTAGAAAGGGTTAGGAAATTTGTACCGGCCTGAATTTACGAATTTAGAAAGCACAGTGCTGCAAGTAAAGTGAAACTAACTTGACGCTCAGCCTTTTAAAAAGCTCTGGTAGTTTACGTGTGTGCCATACCACAATATTGCCAACTGGGAAAGGGGTTCAAGGGCAGGAGGTAATTTAGAACTCTCTCATTTCAATGGGATGGACGTATACTGGGTTCTCTCCAGAAAGGGCTGGCAAGATTGCATGTTTGCAATGCATACAATATCCTAAAGCGTCAAATATATGTAAGATTCTGGTCAGGACAGACTGAAATCAAGGGGAAAAAAATCTTTCATTCCCTGGTGCCAGCCGTATGAACCCATTCCAAGAAGCATTTTCTGACTGCTCCGAAGGTTGCAACTCCTCATTCTGAGTATCGCAGGGAACGTTCCAGGCACTGAACTTTTGTCTGTGGCATGGGATTCCCAGCTCTGGTACTCCGGAGAAGGCCGGGGAGAAACCTCGAGCGCCCAAAGAAAGTCCTGTCCCATGAAATGCAAACAAGTCAATGGGGTAAAGCTGGGCACAGAAAAGCAAAGTAGAGGTGCAAAAGGGATTACCAACTCTGGTGACTTAACCCCGCCACAGAAAACCAGCCTGGAGGCAGCGCTAGATGTGCTGGCTGCTACCCCAAACATCTCTTGCCAGGCAGCTGGAAGTTGTAGCCCAACACAGGGGTTGGGACGTCTGACAAACTGTGTCCAAAGTTAGAGGCCCGTGCTTCCACAGCATATTGAAACCTCAATATATTGAGTTCAAAGTTCACATGGGAGTTCACATCTCTTGAAGTATCAGCTGAGCAGCAGTTTCAGAGATGCCCAAAACTCTCACCTGCATTTTAAAAGCCAGTTCAACACACACGTATATTTGTTTTTGCAACCCAACAACCCCAATTCGGTTTTTGCTTTTCCTTCCCCCCGCCTCCAAAAAAAATGGAATGAGAGGGAGAGACAACATCACAAGGTGCAGCAAAATATTGCTACACAAGGCCGGCAGGCACATGCAGGTGGACTGTGAGCAAGCACAGGAAATGACACGTTTCTCAAGCTGGTTTTCTGACAGTCGGAGTTCCTTGTAAAGAGGAGCTTTAATTTTAATGAATGCTAATTTCTGTCCAGGTGGCCAACAAGAGCCGACCTGGCTGGAAGAGAACAGTGAAGAACAGCGGGGGGGGGGGGGGCACAACACTTCCATACATTCTGAAATGAGAGGGTTTTAAACCTACTGATATCACTGACAGATGTTCTCTGTCAGACCCAAAGTGAGGAGAAGCCTGCACAGATTAGCCAGATAGCTTGAAAAAAACAGAATACTTTAAACATTCCTTTCTCTCTGCCAAAGCTGTGGCTGAAAACATATATTACAAAAGCTCATTTTCAGAGTGAGGTACATCGAGACAGACAAATTTTACTGAGGAGTGCATGCAACCAGGCACACATGCCCTTTGCAGTCAAAGCAATGTTTGCCAGAGTTGGAGAGGTCTCCTTTCCTATTTTATGCACTAGTCCAAACAGGGCTCCATCATTCCATCAGGACTCTGGAAAGGCCTTTTTAAAAGGCTGTGAAAGATCCGATTCTACCCAACTGCCATTCACCCTTAAATTTCTGGTAGCCTCCTTCAGGAAACGGAACCATTTGAGGGCCACTCCACCAGGAAACGTGTGCACCCATAAGTGCATGTATGCATGGAGGAACTTCAGGCGTGCAGCCTTCCCCAACCTGGCACCCGCCAGAAGTCTTGGGCTACCACACCCATCAACCCCAAGAGAAGGATGTGGGCTGCAGTCCGACACATCTAAAGGACGCCGGGGCTGGGGAAGGCGGCTCGCCAGGATATTCTGTGCACAGGAAGCACAGAAGATCCAATCCGTGTCAAAGCCTGTTTGTGCCACATGTGAGAACCAGAGAATCCCAGGCAGACTCCCCGTGAACCTACTTTTATCAAAGCTCCTTCTTTATAGATGCCTGACTGCAAAAGAAAGGTTAACAGCGACCGCATGAGTCAACACACCCCCTATTAGAGTCTTCCAGCAGAAGTGCTGACGGATCCCTGAAGATGAGGAGCAATGCTAGAAGTTACCCAGTAACTAAGAGCACAGCTGACAAACTCTCGCTCGCTCGCTCACTCACTCTCTCACACACAGACTCCAGACATCCCTTGAAAAAAAATTCCTATGATACCAACACCCATGACCACCATTTCCAGCCAACTATAAATAAAGGCTGATTTGTCAACCCCTTTACTGCAAATGGGTGTGTATGCACATGTACACACACACACACACACACAATATTTAGAATAAAAACTGAATTGACCCTCAAGAAATGTGAACAGCACAAAAAAATCCAGAAATTATTACTTGAGAAGAGAAGAGAAGAGAAGAGAAGAGAAGAGAAGAGAAGAGAAGAGCTCTGTGCATTCTGACAAGTGCTTTGCACGCAAAGGGACATCAGAGAACACAGCGAACCGGTCCAACAGGCCGAAGCAACAACTTCTCTCAACCAGGGAGCAAAGAAGGGTGCCTTTGTATGGCGGGGGGAGGGGGGGCTGGGAAGGAGAGTCAGTAGCGCATGTGCAGCCAAGCAATGCACGAAGCCCCCGAAGTATGGCTTACTACGTGACAGCTCTCAGCCAGATCCTGTCAAGGGGCAGCCGGCTCTGTGCAATTGTACGTGTCCTTATAGAGATAATACATGAATACAAAAGGGTATGATACAATCCTATATAGAAACCAGAACATGACGATTTTACAGAATGTTACAAATTACCCGAAGGATTCTTCAAGTACAGGACGATGAGGGGGGAGAAGAGGAAAGCCAGCACGGAGTCATTTTGAAAGGAAATGCAAAATGCACCAGTTTCCAAAGAACAGTGCACTTTTAAGTGGTCACATCCACCTTCCAGTTCACGCCCTGATCCAATGCTGCCTTCAGAGTCCATCGACTGCTTGACTATTGGACTTCAGCGCATGGGCACTGTTTTCAGATGCATTCCGTTTGTTGGTCTGTTTTTTAAAAGGGGGCTCTTGCAGAGGAGTGGCGGTGTTCCCCACAGGCATGGCAGTGCACTGAGCGAAGCTTCCAATGCTTAATCTTTCTCTCCATCTTCACTGCTCCCTGTTGAAAGGGACGAAACCACGAGGATGAGGAAAAACACTTGGGGAATTAAGGAAGAATACCTCCAGAAGTAGGCCACAGAGGTGGTCAATTTTCTTCAGGCCTACGTGCCGGAGGATTTTCCCTTGACAAATACTTTTGAAATGACGGGAGAAGTGGGGAGGAAAGCAGAAGCTGACTTACGTACTTCTACAGAGATGGTGCTATAACAATTCCCCAGCAGGCTCGGTCCAGTGACTCCCCCACCCCCAAAAGTGGAACCCTGATGCTTAAAAGTACAATAATTATCATCCATCTCCTGTTATGAAATCCACCCCTGGGACACACCTGGAAGTCTCTCAGGCACAACTGTCTAAATCGCACACTTCAATGTCACCGTTCAGGACACAGAAGAAAGCTGTGTTATCTTAAAACGCTGGCCTTATTGATAAAACAGGGAAAGAATTTTATCTAATCAGCACTTCTCTGCAATGGCAAACAACATTTCTCTGCTGAAGCTAATATGAGCGTACGAGCCAGATATCACGAGTACCATGGCATTTGTTGGATCGAGCGCCATGAAGAAAAAACATAAACAGAACGAACCGGGGTGAACTTGTTTACTTGGAGGCTTCCAATTTTGGAGGAGTGGGAAAACTTCCAGGGAAAAAGCACCTCCTCAGGACACTGTTTGCATCACTTCCGTTAATTTCAAGGCGCATCTGCCAAGAGAACTAACTCTGGTCATATGCTAAAGGCCACATGGGTTTACTTTCAGTTCTACTAGCCCTGAACAGCACCACAACTTCCGCTTGCCCGAACGGAAGACCACTTCTGATGCAAGCAAATCTGAATACTTTGCTTGCACAGGAAAGGAAAGTGGAAGAGTTAGGGGTGCAAAAGTAGATCGGTGACCAAGGAACAATAATTTAGGACAATCAATTCTCTAGCCTTTGCATAAAGCCACACGATCAACAGGATCTAAAACAGGTGCTCAGAACCTGAAACAAAGGGTTCCAGGTGGGTCTACCCTCCGGTGACCAGACAATCACGCTCCCCTTCCCTGGCCTTGATCCTTTCCCCGCAGCCATGGATCACCGGGTGATTTCCTCACTTTTGCGCAGTCTTCCTTCATTCTAAAAGATTGAACTGCTTCTCCTAGTTACTGACAATTAGCATTTTCAGTCAGCTAAAACAGGCTGGTATTCTGGTGCCAATTCTGGTTTGCCTTCAGCCTCACCAGTTGCTGCAATGTGGCCTCTAAAGGCTTTTCCGAAATGGAGTTTGTCCCTTGGACTGAAAGAGGCTCCCTACCCCCGGTCTAAAATAGGTGGGTGATGCAAAGTTCAGCCTGAGCCTCATTCTCTTTTCTTGTGCACAGCTTTAGTGTCTTTCAAGAAACACTGCTCAAAAGCCACAATGGTGTAACTAACTAGCTGCCTGGTGGAAAATACTTGCCTCCTTGTTCAATATCAGAATCCGTAAGATGAGTGAGAGAGAAACTTGCTATGTTTGCTGGCGAGATGGAGAATCTGGAGTAAGGTAAAGGATGTGACCAGTTTTGTTCAGGGCTTCGAGGCGGTGGCGGCGGAGAGAAGTATTTTGAGGTCTGAAGAGAAGGCTTGGAACTGATGAGAGTATTTGCTGCCTTTGATATAAAAGAGGGCTCTGGAGAAGAGAAGTCATCATCCCATTCAAAACCTCCACCTAAAACAAAACAAAACAAAATTAAAAGAGGGAGAAAACGCCAGAACTCATACAAGAGTGAATATGAACATGCCCAGGTCAGTTGGAGGATTTTATTTAAAGTTTTCATTGCTGCTTGGCTTGAACTGTTAATTCACCTTTCTGCTTAAATATGAACAGAAATGTGGACTGTTAAGTTCTGATATGGTCAAAAGAAACCAAGAAAAGCAGTGCTGTAGGCTCACCGGAACTGGTGCCTCATTTCACAAGGCCACACACTCAGATGACATCAGTGAACAAATACTTAGGAGCCAAAACTTCTTGTTTCAGTAGAGCAGCAAACTCTAAAGGCATCAACAGCAGGCTCATTACTAAAAGGAAAACATCACTGAAGCAAAAATAAGTCTGTTACTTGTCCATAGAAAGGTAACCCTCTCTTCCTTAGAGAGTTTCAGGCGATTGATCCATCTAGGTCAGGAAGGTCTATCTGCATTGATCAGACTGTGATTCGACAGGTGCTTGGGCAGGATGTGTTCTGCGGCAATGGCATTTTCCATGGCACAGACGTCACTTACCGGAAGGGGTTCAGTAAGAACATGCAGAACGTAACATGCACGCTGAGCAGAACCTTTCTGCTTTGGAGCTAAGCATCTTAGAGTTGCAAGGAATATTCTCTGAGAATACTTAAACATGCAATGCAAAGACTAATTACCTTCTTCGTCAGTAGAGCTTTCCGAATTCGTAAATTTATTCAAGTAACCAAGGCCTGAAGCAGAGTCAGGAGTGTTGTTAGAAGCTGAATGATTTGATTCAGAAGAACGATTTCCAAGCTCTTTGGTTGGTGTTTCCTAGTAAACCCAATGGAACAGAATTAGCTCCCATCATTTTCAAACTGGGTTGTTTTACCAGGCAAAATTTTACAGGCGCTTGACAGCTGCCTTCCCTGAACCTGCTGCCCTCTAGAGCTCTTTGACTTACTGTTCCATACTGCTGGGATGAAGAGATTTGAGGAGGTGGGTTGGCAGTGCGTACAACGTGCGTATGCACCCAGACACAAGCCCACTCCCCAACCCCTAGGCAGCCCTCATACAAGGCGAGAGCACCTCATGCTTTCCATCACTAGGCCCGACAGAGTCCAGGGCGCTAAAGGTCCAATCCCAGCACCTTAAATTCCACCTGGAAACACATCAGTAACCAAAGTAACAGGTACAGAATATGAGCCGGTTGCTTTGCCTCCACCAATGTCCTGGTGGGTGCATTTTGAACCAGGGGAAGCTTCTGAGTTGCCTTTAAAGGAAGCCCCACATAGATGCTGTTGCATTAACCTCATCCAGCAGGTTCATGTAGATGTTAAAGAACCTGGGAGATGGAACCAGGCCATGGGATAAAAATATAGTAACCAACCAACCTAGGAAGCACTCCCAGAAGGTATGCCATAGGAGATGGTCTCACACTCTCCTGAAATCTCCAGGGGAATCAGCTGAAACACACGCACACTCTCTCTCTCTCTGTCTATCCCATGTCACCAGGATGAATTACCAAGGCAATTTCCACCCCCAAACCAGAAAGGAATGGATCTAGATAACTAATGCCATCTGGTAGCAGTTGAAGCCTGAAAACTGGAAAATTAGAAACTGGAAAATCATTAAAATTCAACAGGTCTGACTTTACTAACAATTCATCTTTCCCTCCTTCAACCGTTCCTTTTGTCCTGGTTGGAAGAATTATTTTTACCATCCACCCCTTTACCCTTTCACGCTTTCCACTATGCTATTCCTTCAGGTCTGGTTATTTTTTCAGCATCAAAGGTCACTTATCCACTAACTCATAATGGAAGCACAAGATCACTGCTAATGTTGTAGCCAGATTCTGCCACTGATTTTCCTGGATCAATGCAGTACTATTTCTTTTGTATTTTAATATATTTTTTTGCTACCAGTTAAATAACTCTTCTGTTATCTTCCTTACATAAAGCATTTTAGGTTACTTCTTTAGCTCTCCCAAAGGCTCCAGATGCAGTTTACATAAATCAATAATAAAAAAAAAAAACTCCTTGCAAGCCACTTAACAGTGCACACTTACACAAAAGTAAGTCCCACTGAGTTCAGTAAGATTTGTTCACAGGTTAAATAGGCAAAGGACTACAGTCCAAATAATTTTCCTTCTTTATTTAAGTAACACATTTTCCTAAAAGAACACAAATGACAGACAAAAGCTCCCACATACCTAAATACCAAACCTTTAGACACACAACAGCCATCTATGATATGATATCTTAGTCAGTCCTTATAATTTTGACTACAGAACTGCACACAGTGGGGAAAATAGTTTGAAAACATGCCAAGTTGTAGAAATTAATCCATCTTAATTAAGTTGGAATAGTAGGGGAAGAGCAATATAATTTCGTATCTCTTCTGATCTCAAACTAAGTGTCATCAAAAGGACAAAGAAGATCTTGGAAAAGAAGAACCCAATGTTTCAGGCAACACCCAAATCACTTCGGCTGAGCAATTCTGCACCATTCTGCGATGCAGCCATGGTTCATTTTTAGGCCTTTTAAGAAATGGCCAAGCTTTGCTGCGCTCGTTTGCCTGCCCGCAAGGTAAAGGCACCTTGTGGCTATCTCATTACACGAGGGAGAACTAGATACACAACCGTGTTGTTTTGTAAAGTAGGTCGACTATTTTCAGAGAGAGAGAGCACACACACACACACACTCTCTGTTCTATTACAGGCATACCCAGTGTGCTTCATAATTACAACCGCAGGTTACAGTGACCACCAATTGTGCTTTAAGCCCCATGTGCTTCTGTGCTTAGTGCAGCTAAGGCAGAGAGTCTTGTACCTACTTAAAAACAAGCTCCCTGCAACATGGTACAAGACAGACACACATTCGTTCACAGAGGACATGCTGGACGTCCACTATGCAGGGTAACACCAGCTAATCATAATAGTTCGGCTGCATTTTAGATAACTGCATTTCACTACCTTTGCCATGAACACAGCATGACCCTAATGCAGTGTTTGAGGAAATGAGAAACGTATTCTGAGATGCTCTTGTTTTAGATTGAATTATCAGCTCCAAATACGATAGCCTGTGTTCAAACCCTTAAATAGTTCAAAGGACAACAGAAATTTCAATTTTTCACTTCTTCCACATTTTACAGCTCACCACTTGGGCCGCTTATCGAGTTTTTCCTGCAACAAAATGCCTGTACAGACAGACAACAGACTGCAACCGCTCCTGAAAGAGCATGCGGCTACTTGGCCTCCTCCTCCAATTCTCCCTCCCTACCTTGCTTCACATCTCATGTTAAGTACACCTTTTACAAAGACTTTATCAGGATCTTTTTTTCAGATCAAGAGTCTGGGAACCAGATATAGCTTAAAAAGCAAAAGAAAAAAATTAAAAGATACCTGATCGAACAGATAGACAGTGACGTCATCAAAGAACGTTACAGCTTTTCTCTCATTCTTCAGAGAGCTTTCCGGAGGGTTGTTCTGCCCCAGTTGCCTTGGGTGTTTCAGCAAGCTTCTTAGATGTTTGCCATCATCCTTGTCAGTAAGAATGATGGGTACCTGATGCGCAATCTCCTCATCACTGTCAGAGCTAAGCCCATGAAGATGGAAAGTTCTCATATCATCCTCAGAATCATCGCTGTTCTCATCTTCTTCATCAGCATCTTCTCCATCCAATGACAGATCGAGCATGCCAGCCACATCAAGCTTACCAAGGTATTTACCTTCAACGTCTGGCTCTTTCAACTTATGACTGTCCAGGTGGCACAGTAAGGACTTCTCAAAAACTTCTGCAGGACCATACAAATTAGACATGAGCTTTAACTCCTTCTCAGGAAGGAAGTCTGCTGTACTGGTACCTGTACAAGACACACTTCTGGGGAACTCATATATTTCAATGTCATCTTCATCAACAAACTCTGGATCAACCATGGGTAGCACTAAAATTGCGTCGCCATCCTTATGAGGACAGTCCTGCTTCATCTCACCTGGTTGGTGTCCCTCTAGCCTCTCATCCAATTCTATCCATGGAGACAAGTTATTAGCAAAATGTTCATCCGCTACTTGGTTGCCATTTGGCTGATTTTCTGTATTCCGATTCTTTTCCATTTCAAAGTAGTCACTACAAGTGCCATCCTCTCTTATTTCTCGTGGCTCCACCGATGTGTTGGTCACCTCAGATTTCTTGTCTAGCTCAGAATCATTATCAGAAAAATAGGCAGAATCCCTGTATGAATTCTGGATGCCACCAAAAGTAGCCTTAGAGACAGCTTCAAATCCATCTATGATATTTGCTGCCTCCAACTCAGTCTTTATATCTGATGACACAATGATTGCAGGATTATCGTGCAAGAGATTATCATCACCAGCATTAGACAAAACAGAGTCTTCATTGGAGTTGCTGCCCAGAAGGTGTGATGTCCATTCTGGAGATTCAAGATTTTCTGTTTCGTAGCCGCTATCTGCAGGTTTATCAGGTGGCAAAGGTTTCTGGGGACTCTGGCCCACTAAAGACTCTAAGACCTCATTAACATCTAAGGAATCTAATGAGTCTGGTGTATTTACAGACTGCCCCATGCTCTGCATTGGAGTTGACAAACTGTCTTCAAGCAGACTGTCATGACTTGAACAATCTGAAGGAAGAACAGTTGGAAGAGCAATGCCTTTGATGGGAGTCTCTGTGTTACTTTCTTGAAGCTGCACTGATGTTTCATCCATTTGGTCCAGGGGACAGGCACCATCTTGTTCTAATTCCGATGGCTTATTCTCTAAGTCCTGGACCAGCTCCACACAACTACTGCTATTGTATTTAAGTCCCTTAGCTTTTGACTGTATTTCTCCCTCTTGAGCATGGAGGGCAATGCTATGACAGGGACTGGTCCCATCAGCTTCATTTTTGGCATTCAAGGAAAGTGTTTCAGTCACGGTGGCTTCAGGGGCTTGATCTTTTTCACAGTAAGAGTAAGGAATACTACCAGCAGAGTAATCATCAACTCCTACTTTGAAAAGGTTTCTCTCAGCTCTTAACAGGGGGGATACAGGTTGCTTATCCATCACGGGTGACCTAGATGGGCTTGGACTCTGTGCAAAGTCCGGAGCCAGAATACTTGTGCTATTTGTACCCATTTGAACATGCTCATCTTTATGAACTGGAGTATCCCCAGTTGTTTTATGTTCAATGCCCAGAAGGTCCATATTTAGTGATTTTAAAGTGTTGCTGTCAGGTGCTCCACCGAGCTCACCAGCAGCAGCCTTGTTACACAGGGTATCCTTTAATAGTTTGTTCTCTTGAAGAAAAAGAAAGTTATCACACAGTTCTTCCGAAGTCAGAAGGCCAGGATCAGACTGCTGTGTGGTATCATTGTGCAAATAAATAGTTCCATGTTCAGGGCTGTGGCTAGAACTTCCCTTCTTGGCCTGATCAACGACAGATTCCTCTAGATCTGCACAGGAAGCAGCTTCAAGCTCCACATGAATATCAATTATATCAGCTACTTCAAACCTATTTCTCGTATTTGTCAAGTGTTCTGTCTTTGCGGCATCACTAAATATATTTTCGAAAGGGCTGTCGGGGCTATTAACACGCAAGTCCTCTTCTTTGGGTTCTGTATTGTAACAGGACGAGTCCCCATCTGTAGAAGATTCAGCAGCAAAGTCGCTAAGAACCAAGAAGTGAGAGTTCTTGTCTTGCAGAACTTCACAGCAGTCTACTTCTGTGGTCAATACAGCAGCCTGGCTATCTAAGTTTACACTGCTACCTCTGCTCTTCTCCTCTAACTGGATGTAATAATCATTTCCAACGGAAGGTTTGTGGGCATTGAACACAGGAAGTTGCCCAGGCACACAAATTGAAAATTCCTGTCCACTTTCAGCAGGAGCTCCAGGCCCTTGCTCTGAAAGTGTATTTTCAAAAACCTCCATTGGAAAGAAGATACTGGTGTAAGTCATGCCTTCATCAGGATTTGCCTGGCTGCACTCGAAGTGGTCGTGCTTGGCTGCCTCCCAGATGTACTCAAAGTTGAGCCCTCTGCTTGTTTCGGTTACTGTGAGGACTTCCTCCAGCTCACGGCCAAACCTGCTGCCTGTGAAATGATCCAGAATTGGAAAGGCGGAGTCGCTGAAGAGTTCTCTGTTGGAAGTATTGGGCTTGAGATCATTCCACTGTTCAGGATCAATCACTGAATCCCTTTGACTTTGCATATAGAGGTATGTTAGAAGTTTGTGTACTTCTTCCGCTGTTGCTCTCTTGTCTGGAGACAGCCAACAGAACTGTAGAACTTCATACCTATGAGACGAATGATGCATGTTCAGTATTTTTCAGTCAGTAACAGTTTGGAATGTAAGGCAACCCCATTTCAGTGATTCTTTCAATAGTCATCTAGTCTTCTTTTAGTTTTAAAAATATGCTAAGGAGTTCAACTCTGCTAATAATATTTCCGAAGACTTTTTAAAAAACATCCTGTGACTAGTTTTTGAGAAAGAAGAGCTAGTGCTATGATTACAAGGAACTGTCTAGTACAGTTAATTGCTGGTGGTGCAGTACGGCTAATGTTTCTTTTAAACACACATTTTGACAATGTCCAGAAATTATTTATTTGGAGGAGGAGGAGATTACTACATAGTTCCACTTTGTACTGGAACAGTCTTTAATTAAAAGAACATGTACATCAGTGAATATTATCTGCTTTATAGAACAAAAGAAAATGGATTCTCAGCACCCTCTTGACAACAGAAAGACAAATGCTACAAAGCCGGAAGATTAAACTCACCTCCTGTAATGCAATGAACTGAGGACCTTACAATGGTTTTGATACATGAACAAATGGTGTGGACACTTAAATGGACATTATTTGGCTACCTGGTCTACTTTCCTTTAAGGTTTTGTTTTAATTGCTAGAAAATTGTGTGCACTTGATACACATCTATGTATGTATATTAAACATGTTTTAAAAGCTTTCTGAGGTGCTGATGGGCATCACATTGCTGCCCCCAACCCTAGTTCAGTCTCTGCACAACCACAAACCTGCTGCATGGGGACAGACCAATTGCCCTCGCTCAGCCTTAGCCGTTTCCGACCCATCTGTGCCTACACTGACCTATCCCACAAGGGCTATTCTAAGAAATGCATGTAGCATTTCAAGTCCAATTGTTTATACAGTGTCTTTCCTAAGCATTTTTGATACATCTAGACAACCTTCAAGGAGTCCAATTTTACCATCTATCAGAACATGGCTGCTCAAGACAGGGTTCCAAGAGTTTGGTCCGTTTTTCTTTTATGACCTGCGCCAGGACCTCATCATCAGATAAGTCAGAGTAAGGCTTTGCAGCACCGCTGAAAAGCTCCCATAGTGTTACGCCCAGTGACCTGCAAAAAGAAGTTCTTCAGTAAGATGCCGGAGAACAACACGACTACTCCAACATGGCACACAGACCATAAGCCAGGAACAGAGGAAGGCTGAAACCCTCACTGGTTAATGCTCTGCTTCCAGCGGGTTCAATACTAAGGGATAGGCTGGAACTTTATCACAAGCTGCTGAGCCAGATCGTGCCCAAGTAGATCACAATGCGTGAAGGTCCCTAATTGACCATGGCAGGAACCAATGTGGAGAAGGCTGCCTGAAGCTGTTGTTTCCCTGGTTTTCATTTGTGTTTTAAAGAGTAACCAATCTGCTCTGAGCCCAAAGGTTAAGGTCACAAGACATCTGGCAGCAAACTGGACTTTTAGATGGTTATGATTTCTTTTCTGAAAATACTCTGGAAAACATTCAGCAGTTCTACTAGTAAAACCCAACCTTGTTTACAGTGGTTTCAAGGTTGCTTTGGCAAAATACCATTTCTTCGTATACTGACATCTCCCTTTCAAGGGGAGCCCTGAACAATTCAGCTCCAGCGTTCAGAGAAATGATTCGAACCATTGCTAAGCCATGGTTTAGAAAATAACTCAAAAGAAGGCATGACCTTACATCCTCCTCCTCCTTTGCATGCAAAAAGGAGAAAGCTTCTACTTTCATTTTAGAACAAGCAAGCTTGCTATTATTTACGTAATAATTTATTTTTGATATTTACATGCCATACAAGTATAATAAAATCCCTAAACAAGTATGTAAAAACCTGAGAAACTGTGTGTGTGCGGGGGGGGGGGGGTTCCCATCATGTTTCATTAAAATAAAACTACAAACTGTGTCCTGCTCTAAAGAAATTTGGGTGAGATCAAGACCAAGGTCCATGCAGGCCCACCCACAGTTAAGATCATGGGGGTTTTTTGCTGTTACATGGAATTCATCTTCCACCCTTTTGTCCTCATGTGAGAAACCCAAGACAGCTTTCATGTTTCTCCCCGCACAACTTTTGAGGCGGGTTAGGCTGAGAGCCCGTGGCTAGCCCAAGTTGCCCAGTGGGCATCTTGGCTGAGAGAGGACTAGAGCCGGATCTTCCAGTCAGACGCTCTCACCACTACGCCACACTAGCTCTCTGGCTTGACGTTATTCTGAACTGGGCTAGTCACCTTCCGTTCAAGCACCTTAATGCGATTATGATTTTCATACCAGATGTTACTGTTCTTTGTTTGCTCAGCTGTTAACAGCCTGTCCTGGAAGCTGGTCACCAGCTCCGGTGCAGTCCATCGGAGAGGCACAAGCTTCTTCTCATCTGTTTCAATATAATCGTCCTGCCGTATCGAAGAAAAAAACACAATTAAAGAAACATCAAAACTATGTGCTAGAAACCAATTCAACCAACTTTTTGACATGCCTCAGATGTTCATGTCTCAGATGTTCCTTAAGACTAATCACTGCAGAGAGTAAAGCAGGCCTTCTCTAAGAAGGTCACTAAAATTAAGATCTTTCCCTTTACGAAAATGTTTCCTAGTAATTAGGGGTACCTTCCACAAACTTTGCAGAAATGCAGATCCAGTACAAGAAAACCAGAAGCTGCAAAAAGGAGACTGAAGCTCAAGAGGATGCTAACAGTGGAGGAAAATATTAGTAGAGAAAGCAATATGCTCAGCATGTTTTAGAGCTTGGCATTCAAGGTGAATGCCTTTAATAAAACATCGCAATTAATTATATAGAAAGCTATTTGTCCCTGCAGGCAGTAACAGAATGGAAAGCTTAGGCAGAATCCAAATGAAGCTGAATTTCCCATTGATTTAGTCCCACAAACAATCAGTAAGAATTAAGTTAGATGCAACTAATTCAGTCTGGATCCAAACTGCTGTTTTCTCTGATAAGAAGCTTTCTACTCTTGGCATCATGTTGCGCTTAATTTCCTCTTTTTGGCCAACCTGTTTGCTTTAAGGCAGCCTTGCGAGTCAGCTCGACACCTGTAACCGTCGCATCTAGACATCTCAGCACTGCTGCCAGGGCTGTTGTGACAGCAGCTGGCGTTGCCCAGCCTCCTGAGTGCTGACTCTTAGCAGGGCTGTAAGTCCTTGGAATTCATTTTGGAAGGCCAGGAGGGGGAAATGACGAGGGGGAAAAGACAGCCTCCATAATGTTGTCCTTTAATAACAGGACAGCGTCCTGGAGGTAAGGTGTGAGGACTGTCCTCATTGCCAACTGTGGCCTGAGGGTGACACCTGGTGACAGCGGAACCCCCAGCATGGCGAAGGGGAACACAGGACTGAGGCAGCAAAGGGCAGCATGGGCAGGCAGGCAGTCTGCTCTAGCTGTCCCCTCAAGTCCACATAAAGGCAAGAGAAAAATGCACACCAGTATTTGCAACACAGGCGGGCAGCTAGACCACCACACTCAACAGAGCTTTCAACAGAAACTGGTATTCTTCTCTACTATATACAGATCATGCAAGTTTCATCATGCGAGGAGGATGCAGAAAAACAGACAAGAAGGATTACATGCTCCCTCCTCTCATGACTCCTCAAAGCATCCTCCAGGTGCTACTTTTCACATTACGAAAGCACCAACCCTAGCTGCTTACACCAGCCTCTCGGCACATGAAGAGATGACAATTTCTTCCAAAATATATAGCACTTCCAACATGGCACACATTCACTGATGTATGCAAATCTGTGAATTACAGTAAAGGTGATGAAGGGAATGATGAACATGCAAACAAACTGAGATAACAATCTGAGTGGCCAAGCCACAGCATGCAAAAGCAAGCAAGCCCATATAAAAAACACCAGGTGGTAACTTCCAATCATCAATAAACCATCATTAATGCCACCTAACTGAGGTTCTGGAATTCACAGGATTTAACTTACCTTGTACCTACTGAAACCTATTCCATAGTCTCCAATTTTTACATTCAGATCTGATGTAAGGAAACAGTTCCTTAAGGCTAAGTCACTGGAAAAAAAAAAAAAAAAAAGCATTGCAGTGAGAACAAAAGAAAGCTCAATACAATTGATTTTCAATTTCAATCGATTTTCACAGATGAAAATCAATAAGGTAGCTAATGTAAATAAATTCTGCTTATTCAGTGTCATGCTTACTGTCTCGAACACCATGTGGATCTAAAGTATACCAGCAGCAGCCATACAAAATCAGCACCAAATTACCTGACTCAGAACCAACAGCTTGGATTCAAGTCCACACTAAACTGTGAAGTCCATCTGGCAAAGTTTTTTGCCCATTAATTTTTATTGTGGAGTTCAATAAAGCAAAATCCAAACAAATATAAAAATAGAATAAAATAAATATTACATAAGTTCAGAATATATTTGATTACAGTAGATACCTATCCAATGCGTACTCTTAATATTTTATATGCTACAAAAGATGCTCCTCTTCTCAGACATAATTATGCCTAGACTTCAACTAAGGCAGCTCAAGTATCCATATATTTGTCCGCTTGTAGATTACACCTGAAGGCCATGGAAAGATCGAATGCATCATTAAAAGTGTGATGGTGAACATAGGCTGGCTGACTGTACACAGCGGTCACTGGGGGGAAGGGGCAAGAAGGGAGATTTCAGGCAGAAAACTGGGGTTTTTTCTGCATAACAGGACCAGTTTATTTATTTATTTTTCCATTTATATCCTGCCTTTTTCCTACCAAGGGCTCAAGGCAGCTTGCATCATTCTCCTCCTCCATCTTATCCCCACAACAACAACCTTGTGAGGCAGGTTGGGCTGAGAGTCTGTGACTGGCCCAAAGTCACCCAGTTGGCTCCATGGCTGAGCGGGGACTCGAACCCAGATCGCCCGAGTCCCAGTCCCATGCTCTTAACCACTACACCGCATTGGCTCTGAATCAGTTGAAGCATATGCCTCTTTAAAAAGCATGAATAATCTAACATATCCACTGGCTCCTAAACTCTATTATGTAAGACATTAGCAGATATACTCAAGTCAGCCTCAAAATACCACAGGATTGAGTAAAATGAGGCGGTGAGCTTTGGAAGGTCGTGTGTTTTGGCAGGGTGCACACAGGCCACCCCTAATACTTGTGGGGGGCCACATTCAAGCCAACTGCTACCAGAAGCAGTTGCACCATTGGGATCCTAATGTTTCTGCCGGAAAACCTGCTTCTGCTGAGAAACAGGCTGCACACTTCATTTCCCTGCAGAATCAGGAGGATTTGGGAGAAGGCAGTGGCAATCAGACGAGATGTGGCTATGCCAGCAGGTTCTCTGCTAGGAACAAAGGCAGCTGCCCTACACTATCAGATCATCGGTCCATTCAGCCCAGTTCTGTTGGCACTGGCTGGCAGAAGCTCTACAAGCGACTTCTTTCCTAGCCCCATCTGGAGAAGCCAGGAATTAAATCTCAACACGTCAGGCAGGGGCTCTGCCACTAAACCGCAGCCCCTTGCAACGCTGTCCATCCCCAGAGCACAGCGACGCAAGCAAATTCGCGGGAGCGAAATGTCAGCAGGTAAACGGCTGAGACACCGGTCCCCAAGCATGTCAACACAAATTCAGAACTGCAGGACTGTGGAGGCTGCACGTGTATCTGGGTAGCTGTGCTAAAGGCACCCGCAGCCACTTGGTGAGCTCCTAACCTAGAGATGGAAGAAGAGGCAACCAGAGCAACTGAGCTGCTTTATATTCCCCAGGTGGGCATGTCGTGTGCAGAGCCGGCTGGTGCCAGAGGTCAGACTAGCTGGCCCGGGAGCCCCCTTCTGACTCACTCTGTTTCTATGTTTCTAGGATGAAACTCAAATACTTTGGTTATCTAATGAGAAGGAAGGAATCACTGGAGAAGACCCTGATGCTGGGAACAATTGATGGCAAAAGAAGGGAATGGCAGAGGATGAGGTGGCTGGATGGGGTCACTGGGGTGGTGAGTGTGGGCTTGGGTGGACTCCGGAGGATGGCGGATGTGCACTAGACAGCATACTAAAAAGCAGAGACATCACCCTGCCAACAAAAGTGCGTATAGTCAAGGCTATGGTTTTCCCAGTTGCAATGTACGGCTGTGAAAGCTGGACCATAAGGAAGGCTGAGCGCCAAAGGATTGAGGCCTTTGAATTGTGGTGCTGGAGGAGGTGCCTGAGAGTCCCTTGGACCGCAAGGCGATCAAACCGGTCACTCCTAGAGGAGAGCGACCCTGACTACTCTTTAGAAGGCCAGATACTCAAGATGAAACTCAAATACTTTGGCCACCTGATGAGAAGGACTCCCTGGAGAAGAGCCTAATGCTGAGAACAATTGATGGCAAAAGAAGAAGGGGACGGCAGAGGATGAGGTGGCTGGATGGGGTCACTGGGGTGGTGAGTGTGGGCTTGGGTGGACTCCGGGAGACGGTGGAGGACAGGAAGGCCTGGAGGATGGTTGTCCATGGGGTCGTGATGGGTCGGACACGACTTCGTGACTAGCAACAACATATTCCCCAGGCTGGGGCTGGGTGGAAAGAAAAAGACTGAGCTGCAACGTTCAGTTCAGAAGCTGCAGCATGAATTCTGAATTTGTGTTGGAGTTTGTGCTCTGCTCTTCTGTTTCATCAGGCGTGCATGAAGGAGAGACGGCAGCACAAGATCTGTGAAACACTTACCCATGCACGAAATTGTGCTTATGCATTACAGCGAGTCCAGCAGCAATCTCGCACGCCATCCGCTGCAGCAGCATGACTTGAGACTCTCCTTTAATGTTCTCCTGCTCGTTGCAAAGATATGTTTTTAGGTCACCCTGTCAAGCAAGGTGAAGAACACACGTCAGTGGCTTCTCATGCTGGTTGCACCTGGCAGGTATTTAATGAAGCAGCAGCAAAACACACACTGTAGCTCTCATCCGTCAACGGGGTTATTAGCACTGGTTATAAATAAGCGTGTGCTTAGAGGGCCCAGTCATCAAATTTCAAGTCTCCAGAAGGTTTCTTGGAGAAGGCACCTGTGGTACGAGCCATGGCCCTTCTAAGGCCATTTAGCCATTAACGTGTATAGGTAGGTGTGATCAGATTGGAGGATGAAAAAATGGGACGGTAATTCATGAGTCTTTCCTGGGGCAGAAAAGGAAAGCAGTTAGGAAACAGGAGCTCAGAAAGAAGAACCCAAGATGAGAACAGCAATCCATGGAAGGATGGATTGCAGCAGTGCTCTGGGCAATAGAACCTGTATTTGCTCTATTTTTTAATTGACTGATCACCTGGGTTCTCTTGGTGAGGGACTGAACCATTTAAAATACAGTATTCATAAAATATTATTACAGTACACACTTTTAACAAAATGATATACAGTGGAGCAAAGAAAATAACCTGGTCACCGAAAGCCAACCTAAAAGGGCAAGTCAACTGCCTTAAGTATTAACCCCAATATTAGAATTATATTACAAGTATGTTCTGAGAGCATAAACATATGTCTGGTGCCCGAAAGACATTAGTGAAGGCATCAAGCGAGCTTCTCAGCCAGGGGCCACCATTAAAAGGTCCCTCAACCGCAATTAAACCCGAGCTTCAGGCTTAGGAAGGCCAGAAAGTTCAAAGGGGGCACTGTACATATGGAAAAGGTAGTCTTTTAGATACTGAGGTGCTGGGCCAACTTTTTGTCCTCGTATGTTTTTGCACCACTGTCACAATCACCCCTGAGAACTGTGCTAAGGATGATGGGTATTGTATGTGAACACCACCTGTGCACCTGAGTTTGGGAAAGGGTGTACAGGTCTTCACTAGTCAAAAACATCACTCTGAGATAGATCCAGAAAGGGACCGGCAGCCAATACAGGGAAGTGGCTGTGAATTTTGCCATGAGCAGAGTTTTGAGTTCCACATGCAGATTTAACATTTCCCAGTGGGCCCCCACCTAAGGGGCCGTTATAGACAAAAACACATCACATACTTATATCCTCCCGCATCTGTCCGTCAGGATCATTGCACAAATTGTTGACAGGCTGGCTGCACCATGGAGCTCAATTTAAACTTCTGCTCCTTGCAGTGGGAGCACATAACCTTTACAGGGAGGTCTGATGCTAGAAGTACAGTATTGTGAGAAGTCCAGTGGAGAAAGCAAAACTTCAGCTGCCAGTGCCAACCTGCACTTTTAAGGACTGGTTCGTAAGTGGACGTACATGGCTCAGTTACTAAGAGTTTGTTAGCCAGCAGCTCAGTGCCTGGACTCAACGGGAACATGCTGTGTCAGGGCGGCAAACACACTGCAGTGACCTGCAGTGGCTCCTCCAGAAACACACACACACACATATATTATATATCCATGTGTACAAAGCACTATATTTCGCCAACTGTAGATGGCAGCAAAACACCAGAAAACTGCCCCTACACTGCGCAAGCAAAAGAGATTACAGGTGGCTACCTGATTTTAAATGCTTATGAGTTTTGTTTAAATATCTAAAGGAAGCAATTTTGCTGGATGTTTTTAAATCAACATTTGCTACAACCCAAATAGTTCACCAGCATAGCTACTTTCATTCTCTGGCCTTTCAGCATGTGTGATGGCCAAATGACACATGATGTTAAATGCACCACATGCAGCTACTTCTAGAGTGTGGGGGTCCTGCAGGGAGGGACCCAAGTGTGATCAAGACTGGAGTGTGCGGGGGTTTGTGGCTAGGAACAAAAGGCTTAAACCCCCCCACAGGCACACTGTGCCCCCATGGCTATCAGACACATGGAGTCTCACACACTTGTCCTCCTGTAAGGAAGCAGCACAGGTGGAATGGCTTGCCGCACAGGTAATATGGCATCTTGCTCTGCTCTAAAAAGCATAGCTGAACTTGGGCACGAATGAGTCTTGGTTAAGAAACTCCTACACACCAGTCCGTAAAGAAAAATGCCAATGGGCCTAAAGAAAATCCAAAAGAAAACCCCTGAAAATCATGGGTTAAGCATAGCCTGAAGATGCATCTTTTACATGGCAGGGTAGAGTATATCCTTGGGTGTCAGCTGTTGTAAGGACTTGCACTTGACTCGCACAGCATAAGTTTTAATCTATAATGTGTGAGGGCTGGAAGCAAACAACTGAAGATGAGCAAGATTCTATGGGCTATTGCGAAACACTCAAAGCAAATCCAACACTGCCACTAAGGCAGTAAGCTGGTGTGGCTAGTCACAGCTCTTACAAACGCAAAGTTTGCACATATACATTTATACATGCGTTTGTACATAAAATGGGAATTTATATTTTTGTCTTCCTCAAAACCCACAGCAGCTTCCTATCCATGTCACTGAATAGGCCGGCATCGGGTCAGCAATTCTGCAACATCAGATGCTCCTAAACCATTCACTGGACTGTGTGTTCATTTTATACTGTGTTTATATTTGTGCTCAAACTCATTATTATCTTGCATGAACTTTGGAAAGGTTAAGGTGTAACTGGAGTCTTAATATACCAGCTTGTGTGTGAAAGTAAAAGGCTTCTGCATACATGCCCAATTTCTACAGTTGCTCTTTCCTCCTAGCAGACGGGGAGAGGGGGAGGAAGGGATATAGATACACAAAATGTCTCCTGGCTTGCTGTGATGGCAATAAATGTGAGCATTGGATAGGTCTAGCTTGGCACTGCTCCTGATGGAAACCTGGCATATATGCCAGGAACAAGAGACATTTTGCTGTTAAGACAAATCAATGCTCAAGGAGACATTTTCTGAATGTGACAGGGTAATTTTTATGAAGTTTCTACATTCTGTTTTGGACCCAATATCAGAAAGGAACAACTTGAGCACGACTGACTGATTTGACCTTGCCTAGCATCTTTTCTCACGTACAGTTAAAATCATCCCCCTTTACTTCAGGTATATGAAGTAATACTTTACAGTTCTGATTTAACCATTGAAATAGTTTAATATTGATAGGATAAAACCTATTTTGATAAACTATAAAGCCACAACCAGGTTAGATTTTAAAAATTACTTAACACAGTTATAAAACTGCAAGGGTAAGAGCCAACTTAGAAGAAATTCTGAAAGTCCTTAGAATTCATCCCAGGAAGAATAGCCTGGGAGCATCTAGTTCGCCCCAGATATTGTTAATAAGCAAAACCCTACTGCAAGGAGACTTCTGGAGATCTATGAGAAGCCGCAGGCAGTTGTAGAGCGTATTTTGAATACAGAAGGTGCACAGTTCAATCCCCAGTCCCTCCACATAGAGCTGGGAAAAGTCCTGAAACCCCAGAGAGCTGCCGCTGCCGCCAATCAGTGTCCACAATACCAGACTCGATGGACCAAGGATCTGACTCAGCATGCAGCAGCTTCCCACATGCATCTTTGGACTATGGCATCTCAGGTGCCAGTGTGAATTGACTGAAAGGGAAGAGGGGAATACACAGGATCTTAACCCACATTTGGAGAACCAAATAAGGAATAACGTCTAGACAGCAGCAGAATGTCAGAGGATTGGAGAAGAGCCAGGTGGCACCTGGATATGGACAGCTGGGAAATTCAGGGATGGAAAGGTCTTCCAGGAGAAAGGCCTTGTTCTAAGGGCAAGTGGAGATAACAGACTGGCCCTTTCTGTGACTGCTTGGCTGGCCATTTCCGTGCCACCAACAATGGATATCAGCAAGGGCCAAAATCTAGAAGATACGCTGACAGGATGACTGATGCAAAGCAGTGTGGCTTTCAGTTTAAGCCTCCCCTCAAATACATGGACAATAAAACATGGTTCCCCTTCTTCATCTAAGAACCTCCTCCTTATTCGGGAAATTCAGAACCAAGCAGTCACAGCTCAAGAAAATCTTCCAGCAGAGAGGCAGGATCCAAGATAAGCCACAGGATGTTCTGCACATTTCATCTTCTTGATAAGCTGCAAAAAGCTTCCAACAAGCAACAGGGTACTCGGCTGACAGGCGAGTCGGCTTTGCAATATAAACGTCACCTCCACTTTATAATATGATTCTTTGCTCCTCGTTCGTCATTATATCAACAAGGAATTCTATGTGCTGACAAAACGTTGGCCGCACATAGCTGGGTAATATATTACAGTTAATAAGCTGGTTACTGCCCTATTTTTAAACTAGTACAACCCTAGGATGATAGGAAATGATACACCATTAGTTAATTATAGATTAAGAGGACTGCTGCTAGCTGAACATGTACACTACTACAGAAGTATCTGAGACCAGAGGGCATGAAGGGGCCATTGCTCATTTAACGAACAGTGGCTGCTACATCTGGACAAGAACTGGAGAAAAACTAATCTTCCTTGGGGGCCTCATGATCAAAAATTTACAGTAGTCCCCAAGTATGGTGGCTGTTTATTCCCAAGGGAACAGCTCTAGAATCAACTACATGGCTTAACACAGCAGGCAGTACCAGTTGGTGAATATAACCAGCTGCTAGACAGAACAGAGATATGGGTGGTAATCCACACGTTCACATGCAAAACGTCTGGTTCCCAATATTCTGGCTCAATCCAGACACAACACTGAAGCATGGTGAAAGAAGCTGAGTCGACGTGTTGTGATGTCTGCAACAACAAACCGCAGTTATGGCCACAGCCACACTTTCAGAGGCCAGAGCAATCAGGCAGACGGAAATGAATGGTTCCTACGCCATGCTCACCAAACCGTAGCCAGAAGGTCAGCATTTCTTTTAGCCATTCAGGCTGACTCAAATTACCCACATGTCAAAACCAAAAAAAGTTATCATTGTGTGAGAACCAAGCCACTCTAATGAGATGTGGAGATTTCTAGGTCTAAACCTGCCTCATCTTGAAGTGGTCCTCCTGTTTTAACTCAAGTATGAAGGCCAAAGTGAATGTATAGGGAGATATGAAGGAAGTATAAGAAGGTCAGGACCAAGGAAAAACTTCTATGGAATACCACTGAGTACTGGATGCCCTCAAGGTATCTCTGGGGGGAAATAGTGCAAGGTTAAGGTGAGTGTCACCACTAACAGGTTGCTCTGCCTGTTAAGAAGAGCCTTTCTGGATCAGACTGAACATCCATCTAATCCTGTGGCCAACCAGCTGCCCACAGCACGGTTCCACCCAGAGCAACTGGCACATATACGCACACGGCTCCTGGAAACCACATATAGCCCTGAAGCCTAGTGCCCCTGGCAGCCTCCTCCTTCACGAAGAGGTAGCACAAATCACCAGGTAGAAACAAAGGTGTGGCAAAAAAAAAAATTAAAAATCACACCTTCATTGGTCAGAGAGAGCATTTATTGTCTGATACCTTTAAAAGCTGCACAGTGCAGGTGTGGCTATAACTGCATATGCTAATGGGGCTACACAGCATTCAATTAACACCAGCTGCACATCCCACCCCTCTTCTCACTTACAAAACTTACACGCATCTCACATACTTGCAAGTTGCAAAGTGTGCTTTCGCAGCTGTTGTACCGTACCTTATTGTACTTCTAAGACAAGCTTTGGTTTGATGGAAATAAATTGTTGCAACAGGGTTTTAATTTCTAGTCTAGTAATTTAACAGCTGTCAATTTATAAACACTAGCTCGTTTGCGGCAAAGTTTATTGCACTATATTCTCTCCTGACTCATATGGATTAGACCCAACAGGATTATGGCAGTTTCTGACATGACAGGCTAAACCTCCAAGTATTACAAATGTACATTCTATAACCCATGAAAATGTTTACATGAAAAAGCTTATTGGAATCCAGTTAAATATATCAGAGGCATGACAGAGCATTGGCAGAAATAAATTAGCTAAAAGCAACCAAGACGTTAAAGGGGTTCGAGAAAAAGGTCATGTCTGTTCATTCCACTCTTCATCTCACAATAGCCCAGAAAAATTAAATGAAAAACTAATTAGCACTGAACATCCCCAGAGACACAAGACATGTATTACCGAATTAGTAGAACTAGGCCAAAGCCACCTACCCCAACAAGATACCCGGAGGGAGGGGGGGTTTCTTTCAGATTAAATGAAGAACCAGAGCTACTTTTTGAGATGCCTCCATTAAATTTATGGCCAACTTAAAACCGACCATAATAGCAATCTTTGCTCCAGTTAGGCCAATAAATAAACACACCACAACAACTCTTCCCCATGATGTCTGGATTAATTTGAACTGGGACAGTTAAGTCCAGCTTGTTTCAGTAGGTTCAAAGTCACCCTGGTTCAAATTAAACACTGGACAAGGGTTTCAGATCATCTGGCATTCTTTGCTTTGGACTCAACAGTCTTTTCAGGGAAATATCAGAGATATGCATATCAAACCAGCATCAAGCTGCCATTATAGTAAAACAATGTTTACTCACCAAGTCACAAAATTCAAATACCAAAAGAAAGGGAATGGCTTCCACACACTGTCCAGTACATTGGAGGACATTTGGATGCTGAAGAATTCTGCCAGGAAAAGTGAAACAAACAAACAAACAAACAAACATTTTTAAATTAAATATAAATTAAACCAGCTCAACATTTGGGTCCATAAAAAAGCTCAGTGACATGACAGAGAAAATTAACTAAGGTATTACAGGGGGTTTTTTGGATAAGAGCTAAAAAGATCCATAACACTGATTACAGTTGTTATATATTCCTATGCATAAGTATATACCAAAACATTTTTCCCTCTTCAATATGCGCCTTTGCTTGGTTTTGTAACACACGATAAAGGTATTTTAAAAAAATCTCTGGGTGGTATGTGTTCAAACAAGCACTTCATTTTCAGCGAACAAAGACACGCTCCAAGGCAACAAACGGACGGATCCAACCATGAGAACGCCTTGCCAACACTGTTCATATAAAGAGGCTGAGCACCACTGCAAGGAAGTGCAAAGAAGGGTGCTCTTGACTAGAAAGGGCAGTGTTCAAGTATCTGCTCAAATCATAAAGGGCAGCATCTCGACCCAGCTTTACCCTCCGAGGCTTGCTTGGGAGGGTCAACACAAGATCACATGGCCAGAAGCTGATCCAACTGGCAGTTAGAACGTAAAAAAGGCAGTGCGGGATCAGGCAAAGTATCTGATTAGTGCAGGATTCTCTTCCCACGGGGGCCAACAAACCAACGCGTAGGGCAGGAATGCAACAACGCCATTCTGCTCGTGCGCCTTGGGAACTGATATTCAGAGGTGGACTGCCTCTGATACGGGACATAGTATGGGGAAGCCGGAGTGGTTAGATGCTGGACTGGCAACCTAGGTTCGACTTCCTACTTGGCCATTCAGCTCACTGGGTAACGCTGGTCTACCCACTGACTCTCAGTCTAACCTACCTCACAGTAGTATTTTGAGGATTAAATGGAAGAGGAAGAGGAGGATTATGCAATTCATTGGGCTGCTTGGAGGCAACCCAGGATAAAAAAATAATAAACAAAACAAACCATCATGACTCATAGCCATGGATAGCCTTGCTCTCCACAAATCCGTCCAATCCCCTTTTAAAGCCATCCAAGCTGGCAGCCTTCACTATATCTTGTGGAAGTAAATTCCAGAGCTTTAAATTACGCACTGTGCGAAGAAGCCCTCCCTTTGATTTGTCCTGAATCGCCACCAATTGGTTTCATGAGATGATCCTGGGTTTCAGCTTTATGGGAATGAGAAAAAAATGGTCCTTGCACCATGTAGTTTAATCTTCCTTCAACAGCAGTGATAGGACAGCAGCCGCGTCTTCACTGAAGGGCAGCAGGCACCATTTGGGAAAGATTAGCAGGTCACATGACCCATACAGCTCTGTCCATTAACCTCTTCCTGTTACTGCCTGGCCCTCTGCCATCTCGCTCTGTCTAACTGCAAGAAAGGCCAGTCCTGTGCAACAAGCTCCTTGCAGAAAACTGAGTAAAACTGAGCACAGGAAAGGGGGATGGCAGCACCCTTAGTAAATACACACACATCTTTGCAACCATTCCCACCCCTGCGAGCACAGTCCAAACACACCCCACTAACTATGGGCAAGCGCTCCTCCTACTGTTAAGCTCATTTGCCATCCCAGGTCTGCACTGTTTGCGGTTTTCACTTTGTCAAGGAGAGACCAAAATAAAAGCATTGTTTCACAGAAAGCGAAGCAGTTCTCTTAGGGTGTGCCTGGAGTATACGCTGCTGCAAGGTACTCAAATGCTACTTACAAATAGGGCTCTCCGTGCCTCAAAAACCATTCCTGTTCCTTGAGGCTGGCACTTGTTTTTAACTCTTTCACAACCACTCTTGCCACACTGGTGCCTGTGTACACCTCCCCGAGCAGAACCTGAAAGACAGACATGGAGCCTCAGCTACCTTCTAAAAACGAGGAAGCTTTTTTGCACCAGAGTAAAATAAAGTGTGCCGCAGTGCATATCAAAAAGAGTGTGATTGCCAAGAGATGTCTCGTGCGAAGGGCCCATCTGCATGACTGCTGCAGCCCAGTGTAGGTTGTGGAGCTTCCTGCTAACCACTGTGACTATGTGACCCTCACGGTGGCTTATCGGAACATCCAGCCCTGGCACAGGGCGGGCTGTTGGCTAAAACCCCTCCCACAAGGGAAAAAACAGCCCATGATGGGCTTTGACAATCAGGCAAATGGCTTCCGAGGCAAATCAGTGGGTCATGAAGCCTGGCATGGCCTGCTGTATCACACAAGTGTCAGTGCCACGCAAGTGTTCTTCCCTGTCATAGTCCTGTGAGCCAAGATCCTCTCAATGCGCTTGAAATTCCTGGTTAGATCAAAGTGCCATTTTAAACTGCCTGTCAGACATCAAGCACACGGTGGTTATGGAAATCGAAAAAGCTCAAGCAGAATGACAATTTTGAGTAGGTTTGAATACATTTAAAAACGCAGCTTCCCCAAGTTATCCTTAAAAATGCCTCGATTTTAATAAAACTGAGAGAGAGCGGTATGCCAAAAAGTTACATATTTCCATATCTGTTATGTAAGGAGAAAAACAACCTGATATGGAAATGGAAGGTCAATGCTGCAAGCAACCTTCTGGAACTCTGGATGTGAACACTGCTTGGAGGGTCAAATTTTAAAGAGAGTTACACCGCAAGTGCACAGGTGTGAAAGAAGGTATATATGACCAAGTAGGGGAACACCTCTTCTTTGCAAGCCGTGCCATCACTGCCGGTGGGAGCAGTGTTCCCACAAGGCATGAGAGTACTGGCCACTCCCATGCTATGCTGAATGGCAAATTTCCCTTTAATTTACATATCAGTCACCTTTCCTTGATCAAGCGGAAGCGGAAGCGTGGAGAGGACCGTAGGAAGACCTTTCGCTGCCTGGCACAGTGAGAGCCCATCCGCACTGGTGGCAGGCAGGTAGGCGGAACAGGGAGGGTCAGAGACTCCGCCCCAGATGTCCCTTAAAGTGCCCATCATGCACAGGTCCTGCACCCACAATCATACACCAACTTCTTTAAATTACTTTCTATTTGGTACTCCAAAGAAGTCTCACTGACAGATTCATGCTTCTCCGGTAAGCAGCGAAAAAGACAAGTGGCCCAAATGCAGAAGTACTGGATTTTGGGACAATGGGAAGACAGGCTTAGGCTCCTGGTACATCCCAAAGCTCCCATGATCCCAAAACCAGAGAAAAATGGGCAAACATGACAAAGAACGCCACTCTCACACTTATAGTAAATGCAACAGTGACTTCTGTGAACTGACAGGCAGTGATGGCCTATGGATTCTGGGCAAGAGGGCTACGTATGCGGCAGTTCTAAGTGAAAGTTTCTACATTGTAAATACACAATATTTTGAAAAGCTGAAGGAAAGCAATAGTACTATGTTAAACAGTTCTATAAACAATTATTCTTTCAATCTTCAGGTTTGAGAAACAGTGTTGGACCAGTTTCCATAGAAACCTCCATTTCAAAAATGCAAATACAAGCATAGCAAATTTTTTCTCCTAAAGCTTCTTAGCAAAAAGATTGCAAGCTTCCACTTCAAAATTTATTCGGTATCTACTTTTGCTCATTATTGCACTGGAAAATATTTTATCAGGAAGGAAAATGAGATGGAGACAGATTTCTTACCTTTCCAAACCAGCCGTTTCCAATTTCTTGGATATAGCTGAGATTCTGACGAGCCACTTGAGATTTCAATCCTTCTATTATACAGAAAGGAAGGATAAAATTAAAAGAAATGGCCACAAAACCTACATTCAACTGGATTAACTGTTTTTAATACATTTTCCCACTCACCTGTTAGCACACTCGAGACGGCATCAAAGCTTAAAGGCGCTCCCAAGGGCACAGAGCCCCCAGACCCGCCTCCCCCTGGCAACAAAGGAACAAAGAATATCTAAAGGAACGCTTGTGTCCATATATGGCCTCCCGCCCCTTGAGACCAGCAACGGATGCCCTTCTGCAGGAGCCCTCTGTGAATGATATTAGGAGGGTGAGTACACGGACGAGGGCCTTCTCTGCGGTGGCACCCCACCTCTGGAATGCGTTCCCCAGAGAGGTCCGCCTGGCGCCATCATTATTTGTTTTTTGGCACCAGGCTAAGACCTTTTTATTTAAAACTTATTTTAATTGTTAAATTATTTGTATTTGTAGGATTTTAAATTTTTAGCCGAGATGCACCGGGGGTTTTTAAATAATTTTTTATTGTTATATTGTTATTATTTATGTATTTATGTATTTTGTTTCTGTTGTGAGCCGCCCCGAGGCTTCGTTGTGATGGGGGCGGCATAAAAATGTTTTAAATAAATAAACAAACAAACAAACAAAGCCAACGTTCAACCCACCATGAAGGAGCACTCTCAACACCGTGCTTCCTGTCTCAGAGATCCCATAACACCCATTCCATTCATGCCATTGCATGGGAAAAAAGCAAGGGAATACAGGAACGAAGCATAATTTCCCTGAACGTGTATGCAGACGCATCTGAGTATGCGAAGCTGTCTCATACAGAGCTAGACCGCTGGTTCATTCATGTCACAAATGACTGTACTGACCGCAGCAGCTTTCCACGGTCTTGGGCAGAGGTGCTTCTTACTTCTTTGGACCACGGACATCAGAGACGGAATCAAGGACTTTTGGCCAGCGAAATACATACTTTACAACTCAGTTGGGGCCTCAGCAGGAGCCTCAGCCAGCTAGAGCCCATACACTTGCCAAACTCTCCAAGTCGGTATTTCCAAGGCAGACATCTTGTTAGATACCCTCCCCTTCCAAACTAGCCTTTCCCTCAGTATTCCTCAGGCTAATGTCCTCCAGATTGGTTGGACCACAACTCCTAGCATCCTCCAGCCAGATGCATATACTGCTGTTTGGTGTCCTCCATCAGGAGATCATTTTCCAAAGTGCTACCCAGGACTTCGTTTGCGCTTTCTTCATGCTTCACAGCAAAGCCTGCAGTGGAGTAATTGACCTTCTGTTGCACTTATGTGAAGGGGTTCTTCCCAGCAACACCGGACACAGAGCAGTCTTTAGTGCATTGCTGGCAATTACTCTCTCCATCCCTGCCCACAGCACATGCACAAACATGTCTTTGCGTGTGTGTTTGGCATAGCACATCTAATTGTTGGTTCAGACCAGGGCTCACTTCACATGGGCCAGGCAGCTGCCTCTGAAAGGTTTGCAAGTCGGGCAGGACGGCAAAAGGCATTGATTACCCACATGTGCCTCAACACAGTATTCAGGAAACGAGCTTCCTCCAAACAGAACAGCTTCATTCCACTCCCTTGAATGATTAACCAGGGGACTGTCAATAAATCTGTAGAACCTTTTATTTTTTGGAAGCACCAAAAAAATAAAGATGGGTGCAGACTGCAGCACAAATCACATCCTAAATCCCTGGCCGCCCCCACAAAAAATCTTAGCATTTGTTTCCTGCTCTCAATTGTGACAGAAAATCCGCCCAAACTCATCGAAGTAACACACACAGGCCTAGAAAGTATCAATTTTCTGTGTTAACATTTCCCAAATGGGAGCAGGGGGGGGGGAAGCTAATTTTATCAAGTCTTCACAGCTCCTACTTAATATATTTCGGGAAGCAAGAAAGATCACCCTGCACAGGAGTAGCATTTTCTTAGTGACTGATAAAGGGAAAAGGGAAAAAAATTAAGGTTGGGAAAAGGACATCTGATACAGACAATACCATTAAGGAGACATCTATGCCAGGAGAAGTATCATAAAATTTGCTACACTCTACGAACACACAACATCTCACAACACACAGGTGGTTTTCTCGTGGCACACATATTTCCTTTCCAGCCTGAAAACAGCAAAAGTACCTTAATACCGAAACTGAGCTGTTTCCCTTAAATAGTCATGAAAACCTGTTATGACCGCAGCACAGGCCAGTTGCCATAGAAAATATATCGACTTGGTTCAACCCAGTGGGTGGTCAGCTTTGTTTCAGGGTGGCGTGGTGCGATATCTGAAGCCATTCTGAGAACCCATGGGTTGTTTTCGGGGTGGCTCCTCACGACCTGCCAACCCAGCACAATGGCTTGTGTGTGACTTGTTGGAAAGGGCTACGGAATTGCCTGGCAAAAGCAGCATAAAAACCTCACCACGTCGCCTGATCTCGCAAATTATATTGCCCCACTGTTGAGTCTTGAAAGGACACCAGCCAGTTTACTCCTCCCGGACAGTAACACCAGTTTTTTCCCCACCTTCAAAGAGATTTGCACAAATTTAATGTTCTTCCCACCTGCGAGGAGATTTATATGTATATAAGAGGGGTTTTTCACCTTTGGGGAGATCGATGCAAATTTAACTTTTTAAAACTGTGAACAACAGTCATACAAATCTGCAGTAATTACACCCATGGAAAAGATGCACATTTTTGTTTTGGCACTGCTAACTGCATTGAAAAAGAACGTCAGTCGTAAGACCACCAAGCACAGTTTGATGCCATACATTATCATGGGGAGGGGAAGGGGGCAACAGGGCTCTCAGGTGGGGAAACATTTTACCTGTAGGAAGTTGGAACTGTGATGCCGCTGGCAAAGAAACACTGGGGACCGTAAGCGTGAACACTTCTGCTGGAGACTGAACAGATGGGGTATCTTCTGCAGGTGGTGTAAAGTCTATTTCATCATCAAAATTGTCTTCAAATTCCTATAAAGGCAACCAAGTCATCAGAAGAAAATTAATTTCCTTTACTCAGAAGCTTTACTCAGATACCTAGAAGATTACAGGTATCAGTCAGTCCCTTCTAGGCCCTATTACAATGCTCCTTTACAAGGCTGTTATCATCATATGTATTACTGAGTGCCCACATGCAGGTACCAAGAGTGGAAAACTAGGGAATTGTGCAGACTCCACACACAGTAGGTGCTTCCTATCCTTACAGAAAAATGGGTGTGGGGGGATGAGACTGCAAATTCACATGCTCCAAATTGCGCATGCACAATTTCTTGTGCCGCCATGGAGGATTGCTGGTAGCAGAGGGGCAGCGTGCAAGCAGTACCCCCGGGCCTGGCAGGGAGGCAAACTGTCCATCTCTCAGCCAAAGCACAGAACCACTCAGAGGGAGGACTCTCGGGATGCTAGTTCCACTCCTAGGTCAAACTGCTGCCTCCCTAAGGGACTCTCACCTGCCAGGTCCCTGAGCTGCGGGGAGTCAGGACTCTGCTGTACAACAAACAAGGGCTCTCCATTCATCAGCAAAAGGAGTTAAAGAGAAGAGGGCATGAGGTTCTGAAGACACACCCTTAAAACCCGGTTTCTCCTCTGGCCGATCAGTCTTTTTCAATAAGGAAGAGGCCGACTGCTCCACTGCCAAAAGGATAACTCAGCTCCCAAGAAACTTTTGCAAGTTACAACTTTTACATATTCTAATTATAATGTAACAAAAAAGGTGAGGGGAAAATGAAAGCTGTGTTGGAAAGGCAAGCACCTATCAGGTCAGAAAGAGGGAAAAGCGCAGCTCAGCATAGCTTGAAAAAATCTTTACACCAACTTCTGCCAGCACTAAAGCCTGATTTGCACATTAACTGTTACAGATGGGCTAGCTGCTGGGAAGGATATGTGAAAAGACTCCTCAGTTTATCTCTTTCAGCTCAACTGGCATGGAAATTGCGGAACAGTCTCACGCAACCTGTGGACTTTTTATGCACGTACAACGAGGAGGCGGATGCTATTATTTGCCTAGTTCACTGAACATGGCCTTTCCTTCTCCCCTCGTAACAGAAACCACTCTTGGTTTAGGTAGAATACTTGCAGGTCTATATTATAGAAGACTTCAAACTGACACTTGTGTGAAAGAAAAGTTTAGGGTGATGGGGCAATCCCTCTTTGCCTAGAGCAGGCCCGGAGAGCAGTTCACTACACTAATTGCAGGGTATCAATCACCTATGACAGCCAAGGGCTTGAAGAAGCCACTGGTTTGTGGAATTGCTGTGCAAGGCTGTGTTTAGTGCTGCCATCACGCCAACTGTTCAAATCAACAATTGTTATTAACAAAAGAAATCCTTTAAAATTATTCTGAAAGCTCTGCCGAAGATTTTACTCGAAGCCAGAAGACACCATCATTTCTCTACAGAACCACGCACCTGAAAAAACTATAAATGAATGAAAAAAATCCACTAGAATGTTATGAATAAGATCTGCAAACAGGTCTGGGATACAAAGAGATACTTCTAGCACTCATTTGCTTTCATGTGCGAGCTAGGTAATTATTTACTGGGTCCTCTTCAAACCTTTCTTGTAAAACCCAAAGGTTACTGCTTAAATTTTCCACCTGCGTCCCTCCTTAAAGAGAGACGTGTTGCATATCAAAAAGTTCCCTCTGTTGTTCCATGTGTATGTGACAGATTCTGACAGGTTTGCTAGATTCTCTCCCACACAAAAAAATGTCAGTTTTTGCCATGGGTTAGCTAGTTTAACAGAGCTGCAAGGGAAGGAGAAAAACCACAGGAAATTTATTTATTTATTTATGCACATATATTAACATCCAAGGAATGAAGTGAGGAATAAAAGGATCCTTTCAAATTCATTGCTCACTCATGTCCAGCCAGAGCACTCTCTTGAACAATATCCTGTTTGTCCCATTCTTTACATTCCCCAAACCCCAAATCAATCCATACATTAGCACTTCCACCCTCTGGCTGTGTATTTAACTCAGCCAAATACTTTTTGAAATAGCTATTCTATAAAGAAGCCTCAAGTAATCGCCTACACATTGAAGACAATATTCTTTACTGAATCCCTATGATATTTTTATACCTAAAAACAAAACCAGTAAGATAACTTCTTCAAAGAAAAAGACGGCATTTCAGTATCTTTTTATCTTAATATTTCCAGGCCCAGATTACTCTTAGAAAGACTGGGCCGGTTGCTGATGGGTTTGCAGAGCTCTACTGATCTATGAGTTTTCATGAAGACTTGTGACTGTAGCTTGCAAGACCTCCACTATTTGTTTCCCCATTCACCTGATTACTTTGAAGCAAGTGGAAATGCCAAAGAATTTGCTTCAAAGAGTATCAGCGTTCTTCCCAGCCTGTCTGAAGTTAAATGCAAGAAAACGGGACAAAGTAATACCTAACAAATACCAGCTGCCCAGGAAGTCGTTCTGATCATATAGCAATGTGAGCAGACTTGCAGAACCACCTTAAGAGAACAGCCCAAGCTTCACTGATTATCAATGACCAGAGTGAAGTTTACTATAACCCATTTTTATCATTTCAGGTACCATACCCAAGTAATACAAACTTTCCTCTCGTCTACTCACCTTGAAGTTTATCTCTTGATCTTTACAGCAGGACACACAGTTCACAAGCAGTAGTACCAGGACTACAAGGCTACAGGCAGAAAGTATCATCAGTGAGAAAGATGCTTCCACTGCTCCTGCTTCCCCTAGAAAGGGAATAAAAGAATAAAATTAACCATTTCCATATATTGGAACACATACAGCAAACGCCTGCTCACTTCTGTAGATAAGAGATTTAAAATCTGTTCCTGATTATTCACCCATGCAGAGAAAACCTGCTTGTTGGCCCACCTGGTTATGTACCTTTTGCAATAGAACCAATAATAAGTGAACAGGGTTTCTACCACTTTAAAGGTTCTAAATTTGGGTTTCAATCTTGAACAAGACCTGCTCATCTAAAACTGGTATCTGAATCTGTATTTCTCTTCCCTCCATTCTTCCTTTTGTAGTGTGCCTATTAGACTTAGATTTACAAATCCAATAGTCTTTAAACCTTGATGTGGGCTTTTTTGCGCAGTGCCTTTAAAGTTTTATTCATCCACATTTTACATTTTAGCCCAGAAACAAATAATCACATGTGCAGGGTTGCCAGTTCTTAGTGCAGATTTCTGGACAGTCAACACATTATTTAATTACTCTTCAGAATTTACCTTACATAAGCTACATCAGGGGACTAAGAGGCAAAATCTCCATGTTCCGGTAGCATATTACCAGTTACCAGATACTGGGGACAAACAATAGGAGCTCAGTTATCTCTACCATGCCCTCCTTGTGACCTTCCCAGGGGTCACACGGCTGGCCACCGTTGAAGACCAAATGCTATTCTACTTGAAAATTTGATATGATAAATCTTAGGACCTGAGGTTTATCTCTCTTTGAACTTCAGCTCCAGGAACCCCTGCCAGCATAGCCAATGGCCAGGAATGTTGGAAGCCGACATCCAAACCGTCTGGAGAACTACTTTCTGCCCACCACATTTTAGGTAATGTATAGGCACCAATTCTCACTCTCAGCTAGAAGATTTATGCAAATCTATCGAAAGCTACACATGCACGGGGGGGGGGGGTAGTGATCTGGCTTGTATGTGCCTCTTTTACATTTCCTCTTTCCAGCAAAAGGAGATGTTTTAACAATTCATGCAGGCAAAGGCACAATGTATGACACTCTTGTGAATAACTCTAAAATAGGTACCAGCTAGCAAAAATTAAATTACTACCTTGTTGTGGGCAGGGGGTGGCAAAGGGAGGGACAAAGGGCTACATTTCTATGCCGTGCACAGTGGTGGGGGCCCCTACTATAGCAGCCTATTTGATTTCTATGCCAGGCAAAGAGAAGAAACATCCTATGCAAATCCACTCACACCTGGATGGAAATCCATAGATTCCCATGCATACAGTTCCTGGACACCTCTGGCCAGAGGCCAGGTCTTAAATACAAGGCTGGTAATATCTGATAGGGGTCATGGAAAAAGAACGATGCTGGCAGTGGGAAAGAGTGGTTAGACTTTGAATACAAAGAAGCATTAAAGCAGTCTCTACATGTAGACATACGCACATCCCAAGATCACAGTAAGTAGAAAAGTGCCATACATTGGGCTTGAATGTCTTGAAAGCTCACAGCTTTCTAGAAGCCAGTAGCCAAAGATTTTCCACAACAGCTGAATATCAGTTAAGGTAAAAGGGACAGAGAGTGCATAATGTGCTCACAAGGTTTGTAAGCTTTTGCAGGCTTGCATGACACAAGCCATATTGCACAGTGTGACTTGCTTGGGTCCTGAGGCACCTCCCACAAGCTTGCTCCTCCAGCAGGTATTCCAGGGGAAACCATGGGAGCACTAAGCTTCACCACTCAACAGCTGAGCTGGTAGGCGTGAACGCCCATCACTTCAGCCTATTCACAGGTTGGCTGAAGTTATCAGTGCTGCTCTCACGGGGCAGCACACAGTGAGAGCGCGCTTCTTCCCCTTGGCTGGCCTAAAACATCAGGCCCAAGAGAATCCATCCCATCTCCCTACGCGCACAGCCTGCCACTGTGGAGGAAAGCAACTTTCTCCTGGGCCTCGTCCAGAAAAGACCAGTAGAAGAAGGCTATTCCCTACCCCACCTGCTGCCCAGGATGGAAGATCCAGGGTGACTTTGGCAACAGGCGAAGAGGCACATTCCGCTGGTCCTCCTCCAGGGGAGACCCAGCAGAACACACCACCTCCTCAAGTCCTCGGTAGGCCTGAGGCAGCACCTGGCAGCAGGGAAGCTGATGAGAGCTGCCACTGAGGCGCTTTGGACAGCTGGCATCAGAGATGCTTGGCATGCGCAACAAGACTTTCTGCCGCGCTTTCCGAGAGACTCTTGTAGGCTTTAGGGCTTCACCTGGTTGCTTTGTGTTCAGATGACACAGCAAGCCCAGGGTGGCTATGAAACCCTACAAGTAGCCATGGCTTGTTGGAGTGACTTTCATAGCCAGAAAGAGACAAGTCTGGGGGTGGGGGGCATGCCTGCTTGGACCAAACTGTTATGGTATGGAGCCTCTGAAGCCATAGTGGCTTAGCATGAAGTTGCCCTCTACAAGAAGGAAGCCTTTATATCTAGGGGTGGGGGGGGGGCTACTCCTATAGCTGCATGTTCATGAGTCAGCCAGGTCTGGTTGGGATTCGGGGTGCAATCAACTCCAGAATCCTTCACAAGTCCAAAGAGAGCAAGAACAAGACAATTAACAGGACAACTTAACCACCCCCTCTCGTGACTAAGAAGAGGGATGAACTGTGAGAATAGGCTGACTAGCTATTCTCCAACCACATTGTTAAAAGGATTCTCCCGCAGAATGATTTTAAAATATCTCATCTAGCTCTCTTTTTCGCTTCCCCTTTTCGTAACTAACATGCACTTGCCTGAAACAATAAAAAGCTTGAAATCAAATAGTTAAGGCAAAAACACTTCCCCCTGGCATTTGGACTGTATTGTTGGAATGGGCTGGATGTACTATACTGGCAACTTTAACACAAGTCACCTTCAAGTATAGTGGAGGGTTATCCAATCATTGTCAACAATTGGAGTCAGAATTAGAAAGGCGGACAAGCTGTGTTGGGAAAACAAGCCAGCTGCGTATTAAAATAGCCCTTGTGTACTGCTAATGTGCCCGGGCAATTCATAGCCACACAATTTGTCATCTACTGTTGACATCGAATATGTTGGCTTCCTTATTTGCTGGGTGTGAGCGCATGTTAAACAGATTCCCTCACATCATTGATTTGTTGTGGGGGAATGGGGTTAATTGTAATTAAAACTTCCATTGATTAACTGATGAAGCTAGATCAATTTAAACCTGAAACCCTATTATATTAAATTACATCAGTATGTACATAGAAAAGATAAGAGCTACTTAGCAAAGAAAAGCAACCACAAATTAGCTTTTAACAAATAAAGGTACTTTTAAAGTCCCACAAAAACCCCAGAAGGAGCTTTATTGGTTGAAAGTTATTCCAGTTTTATAAAGAAATATAGGAAACACTAAGATAAGTTCAATATTTTTAAAAAAGTCAACCTATTTTTGTAAAGAAAGACACTTCAATAGATCTCATCTTTGAAATCCAAGTGGATAAAGCAACTGCTTCAAGAAAATTCGAAGTATTTCTATGGATTTTAGAAAAAGCCTTTACAAGAAAACCAAAGCACCTAAAATAATAGAATGTGGCAGCTAGCAGAGGAGTCAGATTGCCACCTGGAGTTAAATACCCCAAGATCAATAAAACCCAGCAAATGAGATTGCAGAGAGTTGCCATTCTAACAGAAACAAGACAAAAACAACAATAACTACAACAACAAACCAAAGACTAAATCTAGCTTTTCATGTTCTATTTGAAGGTGTTCTTGCCTGCAGGAGCCGCATCAGACATGCTTACACAAGCACACAGCCTGCCTCTCTCTCTCTCTCTCTCTCTCTCTCTCTCTCTCTCTCTCTCTTACTAAAATTCGCCCCGAAGCATGGACAAGATATGCATTTTAAGCAATGTATGTACCTAAACCCAAGTTCATAAAAAATAAAAGAAAAGGTGGATGTTCCCAATGGCCATGAGAATACTGAAAGAGCACACAGAAAAACACCCATTTTAGTTATTTCTCCTGTACAAGCTCTTGACAAGCTACCTGATATTGACAGCACACCAACAAACCAAAGTCCTTCTTGGAAGAGGACTGATTTCTATTGGTATCAAGGTGGCTGGTCATTGCTGCGTATCACTGAAGGATATGAAAAAAAAAACTTTGCTCTCCGAGCATAACAGCAAGGGTGATGCAGTGGTTTGAGTGTTGGGCTTGGACTCATGACCCCTGGGCTGTGGTCCAACTCAACCCTGCGACTCATGGGTGTCTTTGGGCCAATCATGAACCCACCCTGACCCACCTCACAGTGGTGAGGATAAAATGAGAAGAAGAGCATTGTAAGACCCTGCAAGACAAAAAAAGGCAGGACACAAATGTAACAACAAAAAAACGCCGAAGGGATGAAGAATCTAATATAAACTTTAATGTTTGTTCTACCGCTTATTCATCGACTCATTCCTTTTAAGGCACATGGTCTATTAGAAAGATAGGCTGCTGACAAACATGACAAACTACTTAAAGTTTTTAACACAAATACAGACTTGAATACCATCCATGTTATGAAATGTCACTATGATGCTCATTCATGCCAATGGGCTCCTGCTGTATCATTAAGGCGGCCATATATCGCACAAAGCATAAGCTGCTGCTGAAGCGAAGACTGATCAAAAGTGTGGCGTGTCCCCTTAGAGGAAACACTCCACACCTAGTAGAAACTGCTTACGTATGGCGGGGCAGAAGTGTCCTGAACAAAGTGATGAATTGTTTCACTGGATATTACACAAGAATGCCCATTTCACATAATGGGGAAGGATGCACGAGAGTAGCAACCGGCTAATGAAGAAAGTTGTTTCTACAAGGGAACGCCTGTGTGCTAGGATCTGAAGTAACAAGGGCTTTCACATCAACACGGTACCACTTTACTCTTACATTCATGCTACTGAAACACCTCCCCACAAACCCAAAAGCAACTGAACAGTTACATTCTGTGTCTACTCAAAAGGCAGCTCACTGGAGTTCATTGGGATTTACTCCCATCTAAGTCCCAAGTG